CTAAAAATATTGAAAAAAATCACAACACAAATAGCAAAATTATGCATTTTCTGCAAGCTTTTCGATTTACACGGTTTTGACTTGAAAATTTTTAATTTTCGATTTACACGTTTTTCTCCGGAACGTATCTACTGTGTAAATCGGGGGATAGGTGTATATAGATATTGCTTTATATTACCTATCCCTAGTTATTGAACGTTGAACAAAACTGGTGGTCTACCATGAAATGAAATTCCAAATTTTCGGGCTCAATTTCGTGTTTTTGTTCGTACCGAAATCGACCCCGTAAATGGAGCTTAACATTTCGTTCATCATATATCCTATCCTAATAGTCCAAAGAAATGATATTTTAACATTTTAAATAATTTTAAACGGCATATATTATACAATTCTAACATCAAATTTCTGTTTCGTTCGTACCCGAAATTTTGGAAAATGTTTCATGGTAGGCCCCCTTGTGTGCGTATATTATTGATACTCCATTTACAAATGGACCAACCATTTCATTGGTTCAGATCCACTCGTACGAAGTCTCGGGTAAAAGTCAATATTAAAATGAAAAAGTGTCAGTAAAATTGAATGACAATTGATATACTTGATTATTATATTTTAAGTATATTTCGTGCTGAAGAAGGGCCAAATTAAAAGTACCCGTAACCGGCAAGCGTGTATGAAAAGATTGATGAATGTAGAGCAAGCGAAAGAGGTTTGTTTGAATCGCAGCATTTGGCGTTCCATTGTTTCTGCCTACCCTAATGGGAGACAGGCATGACAGATATGTATGTATGTATGTAAGTATATTTCAAGTATATTTAAAACAAGTTCATTATTTATAAGTATGTATTATATTTTCATTGAAATTACAGTGAAAGTACAACAACAAATGGTACTTTCCCTTCATATCAGTTAAATATAAGTAGAGATGGCATTTTAATATTTCTTTAATCCAAAATATATCTTGTTAACCATAATAATGAGCTAGCAATTATTTTAATACTCTTTCTAGAACTCTTAATATCGATTTATTTTTGAAAAATATAATATCAGCGAGAGAACAACTGAGTAAGCAATTTTTTTTTATTCTTAGTTTGAATTTTACTTTGTATTTTGTTCATCATGATTTTTTGTTTTCAATCCTTTTGTTTGTTTGTATTTTATTGGTTAATTTCTATTTTTATTGTTTTGTATGTTTAAAACTACCAGTCGGATTTGAATAATTGTTTTTTGCATTTAGCACAATATTTATACTTAGATAGCTCATCTCTTTAAGAAGTATAACCTTTTCTATTCTATTCAACATCAAAATACGAGCACGGACGAAGCCGCGTAACACAGATAGTATATACTATATAATAAATATATTATTATGTTTGTTTTATGTATCGAATATTTACAAAATAAAAGTAAGTAATAAGTGTCGATCATTGTGGGTCTACCATTTCGGAAGTCCAGTTTAATGCACTCGATTTTTTTTTATTTTCCGCATATCAACCAAGGTCTCGTCCGCCTCGATCGCTATTGTACTCTGTCTAATATACGAGTACAATGTGTTTGGTTTCCGTCTGTGTAGTTCTATGCATCATATTATCATTAAAAAAAAAACTTACATTTCTAATGACAAAATGATATAAATTGGAATAAATACTAATAAAAGCAGAGTATTTAAATTGAACTCGATTTTATTGTTATTTTTTTATTATTTCTTAAGTTTTTTCATTATTTATTTTGTAATATTCAGTATTATCTCATAACCAATGTTAGACCATTTATATAATGGTGAAGGCAAACGTTCTCGGGGTAGATCACCAACGCGATGGACTGACCTCATCAAAACGGCCACATAGCAGTCTATTGTGGAATGCTCTCGCTCGGCTGTGAACAGAAGTAGATGGAGACGCATTGCGAGGACCTCAATCGCGAAGGAGGGCCTCATCGACGATCCACTGTCATCATAAAAATCACGTCTACTCTGTCAAGAGTGTACGACTGAAGAGAGATAATGGTCAAACATTGGTTACGAGTCAAAGATTAAGATTAATACTTATTTACGATTTGAATCCATTATAACGTATGTAGTGTGTCTACTTTTGTAGATACATGAGTCCCATTTAAATCTGACTTTTGGGAGACTTTGTACAAAAATCGTTCGCTTGGGTACCTCTGTTCCATTCGTGTTTTAACCGTGAAGCAGTTGTGTTTGCATGGCTGTATTTCGGTTTGAAAGGTGGGATATGGCGTGAATTTACTGGGTACAGAGGAATAACACCTGAGTCCTCAGGAACAGCAACGCATTAGAAGTATTATGGGCGAAACAGTATACTCTGTTATGTCCATGGTACTGTTCATGTCTATAAGCGATGGTTACCATTTTCAATCAGGTGGGCCGTCAGCTTGTTTGCCATACTAAGTTGTATAAAAAAAAAAAAACTATTGCGTTAATACCTTTTGCCCAGAAAATTATACTAAATTATATTTCGCTATTAAATTGCATATCGGCCTGCACTATCGACATACGCTGACGGGCACTAGTGAGAGATGATATATGAAGATGAAAGCAGGTCAGTTGGCCCATCGTGATGAATTTATCAAGAATTAACTACGATAGTTTCCGAGCGGAAATGCCTGAAGATCGACCTGATAGGGTATCAGATCGATCTCCAGTATAATAATGTATATGTATAAAGGTTTTTATTAGTGGGGCCGCTAAAAACGAGATACTAATAAACTAAACTCTCACCGAGGAGCATATTTAAAAGAAGTGTTTTAGAAGATGTAACTGGAAAAATAAATACCCGGACATTGACTTGGATTGATTTGTAAAGCGCAAAACTCGAAAACGGCTGCGCCAATTTGGTATTTTTATTTTCAAATGTTTGGAAAAAGTCTAAGAAAAGTTCTTAGATGAGGATCATCTATCATCGCAGGCGGGGTTACCATATCATAATCACCCATTAAAAAAAAAAAACGTTAAATTATAGAAAGAGGATACCACAGGTATAATACTTAATCTATGCATTAAATAAATTAATCTTTTTTAAAGAATGACGTCTATCGAGTCGAGTTTGTAAAAAGAGGACTGAACTCTTAATCTATGGTCGGGTCACCTAGTTTTAAATAATGTAATCTTAAAAAATCTACAATATCAATCAATTAAACGGTGCGTTAGTTACTCACTTCCTCTGTTGCTACTTCATTGCTACATTATTTCTGGGCCGGAACATTTAGTTATACAACAAATCCGGCGGTTTGATCACATTTTTAATTATATATTATTGAGTAATTTGTTTGGAAAATTTATGTTGTTTATGTGTTCATAACTATGTACTTTTTTTTATTGACTTTTAATGTAATTGTTAGTAAGTGATAATCGTCGCTTAAATATATCAGTAGATAGGTATTTTTATACCTTCACCTGTTCAAACCAGATGATTTTCTTTTTAAATGTTATGCACAATGATGAGCATCCGAAAGTATGATTTTTGAAAAATACTCAAAGGAATCTTGGAGTCGCATTGATATACGCTTCAATCACCCTATGTAACACCATAATATTAATTATGGAATCAAGTTTTTCTATAGATTAAATAAAATAAAGTGTTTATAAAGGGTAATTTGAGCGCATACCAAATATAGAAACGTATAGTATGTATCTTTCTATTTAATTACGGCTTTCTTTGTTTTTACTTAACATTATGCAGTTTATTACAATTTCTTTAACATTAAGAATGTATTAAGAGATAACTGTGCTTGTTGTATAATAAACTATTAAATTACTTTTATTTTTCTTTTTATTTTGATTTAAAATAATTATACTGGGTATAAAATTAATAATGTGTTTCAGTTTCCTTAATATCGTTGTACACCTACTTGCTTATTATCAACTCGACTTTTTTTTTTATTATATTACCTTTCTTAAAGGTTTAGATACCATCGCTGTTTGTCCCTTAATCATTTTTACCTTTATAGACTAAGGGCTAATGTCACGCTCAATTAACTAATTTAATTTTTCATTGGATATTTATTGTAAATGCTTCCATGGGTAAGGCATATCAACAATTTAGTTACTCTTTTTATTTCTTTCCAAATATGTACCATTAGTTTGAAAGCTTCCAAACATAAATAAATAAATAATATTGTAAAGAATGAGTACATTGGCACGTTGCTTTGCTAAAACGGGGTTCCGAATTTGATACCCAGTACTAATTTTGAAATGAAATTTTCTAGAATAGCTCGGGTCTGTATGTTTTGGATTATGCTCCAAATGCCGGGGTATCGTTGTTTTAGGATCAGTCTCTAGCACTTATCCTATTATATTATGAATAAGAAAGTTTGTAAGAATGCATGATAAATGAATGTTTGTTACTCTTCCACGCAAATACTCCTGAACGGATTTGAAAATAAATTTGCTGCAAGGGTAGGTTATATCATTACTTAGCATGTAAGATATTTTATGTATTAATTCACACGAGAAAAGCTGCGGGATATAGCTAGTCATTTGTTTTTTAATGGGTGATAATGGAATGGTAACCTCACTCGCGCTAACGGTATACACTGGCGGGGCACCAGTGAAGGATGATAGGTGAGGATGAAGCAGGTCAGTTAGCCCATCGTGACGAATTCAACAAGAATCGTTCACGATGGTTTTCAGGGGGAACCACGTGGATGTCGACCTAATAGGGTAAATTGCTAGCAATGGGGCTGTCAAACTCCATTGCTAACAATCCCTTTCCCCCGCTAGTCATTATTATTTAGTATAATGCTACTGATATTAGAAATAAATTCTAACAACATTATATACAGGCATTATATCTTATTAAAGCCAATACAACTTTCTATGTAATGGGCCATACTATATTCAGTAGCCTTATTAGTATATATCAGTATCTATATTTAGTATTAAGCATCCTATCTCTTTGTCTTACCGTTGTTAAAAAGTCAGATTTCCAAAACTGCATTTCTAAATGCCTAGCCTTGGATAGTGATAAAAAACTGTTACTTACGTTCATTTTACTTGCCGTACAATAATCCAAAGGTCCTTTAAATTCACTGTTCACAATTATTGTTAATGTTTTAATTACTTTTATTAACCTGTTTGGAAAGTATCGTGTTTGGGACCGGTTCGACGGAGTACGCGCGTGGACCCACCGCGCCAACGCATAGCAGACTGGCGTCCAGTCGAAAAAAATTTACTTTCTCAAACGACCGCGATACTGTGACGATGTTGATGTCTTGAGCATGGAGACAGCACGTATACGTAGTATTTAACCCTTGCATACTGTTGTATGTGGTTTTGCGCAGACTTGCGACTTGGTGGCGCGCGAGAAACGGCTTTAAACTTTCCAGAAAATTATACAGTTAAGAACTCCATAGTGGAGTGCTCGTTGATTTGGGAAAATGATTTTTGAGTTCGATTCTTGGTTGGGTAAATTTTGGAATTTGATCTATATCGAATAAGTGTATTGAAATTTACCAATAGATATTGTAAACTAGCAATGTATTGTGACCCTGGCGTTGCTTGAGCGAATCAGGATCTTATGTTACCGATCTATGACCACCGAGAGTATAATTTGTTTGTGTTGGTACACGATTGGTGGGGAGGGGAGAAAGGAATTGCTAGTAATGGAGACTGAGAATCCCATTGCTAGCAATATACCTAATCAGGTCGACCTCCACGCGGTTCCCCCTGGAAACTATCATGATTAATTCCTGATGAATTCATCATGATAGGCTAACTAACCTGTTTTTATTTTCATCTATCACCCTTCACTGATGCTCCGCCAGCGTATACCGTTAGCGCAGGCGGGGTTACCATACCATTTTTACCTATAAAAAAATTTTTGGGAAGGGATTGTTAGTAATGCTGGTAATCCGTCCTATTACTGCCTGTCAGGTCGACTTTCACGTGGTGCCCCCTGGAAACCATCGTGCTGAATTTCATTGTGATGAATAATCATGATGGGCTAACTGACCTGCCTTTTCATTCTCCTCTATCAACCCTCACTGGTGCCCCGCCAGCGTATACTGTTAGCGCAGACGGGGTTACTATTACATAAAAAAAATATACTCTTATTTCATTCGAATTCAGGACTAAAAGTTTATATTATGTCAAATGCTAGAAGTTGCATAAGTTATTAAATGGAGAATTTGCGGTTCGGCCAAGTAAGATTGCATGGATAGTTTAATATAATGGCCTCTTTTGACCTACTTTCATAAAAGTATTTTACAAGTAGGTTACGGGGTGAGTAAGGCTAGTTATGTCAAGCCGAAATTTTGTGGTAATATCCACAATCGAATTACTCCACAAAGTAGTTATACCTAGTTTTTTTTTAATGGGTGATAATGGAATGGTAGCCCCACCCGCGCTATTGGTATACATCGGCGGGGCACCAGTGAAGAATAATAGGTGAAGATGAAGCAGGCCAGTTAGCCCATCGTGACGAATTCAATAAGAATTGTTCACGATGGTTTACAAGGGGAACCACGTGGAGGTCGACCTAATAGGGCATATTGCTAGCAATGGAACTGTCAAACTCCATTGCTAACAATCCCTTTCCCCCAGTTATACCTAATTAGTTGTTAGTAGTTAGTCTATTGTGACAAATTCGCCAGGGATTAACCACAATGGTGTCTATGAGCGCGTGGAGATCGAACTGACCGACTGAATATATTGCTAGTACAGATGGGCAAAGCACCGGGTTTAAACCCGGTGCTTTGGTAAAAACCCAATAAACACCCATAAACTCCCATAATCACCCAAAAAAAATAGGTTTTTACGTATTTTTTTGAAAATATGTAAGTAATACCAATAAATTATTTTTATAAATTGTATTGATCAATTCTACAATATTAAATAAAACGTTAACTAATAATATTTCAGGAAATTTTAAAAATCTATATATAATAAAATGAAAGTAATTAATTTTCAGTGTTTTCATGTTGCAGTTGATCAACATGTTGGCCTTTTGCTTCCCGTAGATACTTTAAAATTTCTTCATAACACCTCGTTCGCACACATGGCCGTATATATTTAAATTCTTGAGCCACTAACAGTCCGAAATACTCATTTCTTTTATCCTCTTCTCCATAAATTAAGCATTTAGAACAGTTTGTTTCTTCTTTCAGTAAATTTTCTTTTACTTTATCCTCGTTTTTTTCTTTGTTGCGACGACGCTGGGTAAATCATCTGGACACTGGGTCTCACTATCGCCAAATATATTTGGAGATCGGCTTCGGCTACGGCTTGGCAGACATTTTTTTCTTTCTACAATTTTAAATTAAATTTATTAGAATAAATGCTTCGAACACACGCGATCTAAGTACCTTTTGTGTTTATTATACCTTACCTACCTAGGTATAAAAAGAGTACTTACGTAGATTTTCTTTTATTAACTGTTTTATACGAAGATCTTGATCTCTCAAATTAGCATCCATTTTACTTCCAGTGATTATCAACTAAATTAATAATCCACAAAGTATTAAATAACGTTTTTATGAAATATTTAGCACAAAAACAATACCCTTTAAATATCGATCGTCAGTAACTGTGGCTGACTTACCTATATTCTAGCAAGCAGGACTGCCAGATGTGAAGGGGAAATCCCCAATAAATTGTTGCATGTGACTGATGATGTGAGCATGTTCGTTTCATAATAAAAATGTTGCCAGGTAACCAAAAAGTCGTATGTTTTTGTGCGAATTACGATCATAATCTTTACGATCGTACATTAAAAAATAGACAAATAATAGTATGAGTACGATTTAAATCGTATATCTGTCAACCCTGCTAGCAAGACAGCGACAAAATCACGTTGCATAACAATGTAGCCCAAGCTTATATCTTATGAAATATACGGAAGAGATACGGACTTAGAAAAAACAGAAATGTTGTTCTTTGTGGAAGTCATTGATGAAATTCTATGTATTTTAGCCCGCAAACTTTCTTCAAACAAAAACAGCGCCATCTAGTATCGAGTTCTGTAATTATCTCTTTGTTTATGGATTTGAAGTAAGACCGCCACGCATGCAATACATTATGACTGGGGATTCCCCTATTCGTCGACGCTGAATATGAGGCGACGACAATCACTGTCAAACGTGTTCACTATTACTCTGACTCTGGTAACGTGACTTCCTGGTAACGTGTTAGGTAGGAAAAGCAGTAAAAAAGTGCATATTAAGGGAGCAGATTTGAAATAATATTTATACTTAACAAGAAATAATTAAAGGTAAGTGGATTTTTGAATGATACAATTATATCATGATCACTTAACAATTTTAACTTAAAATTAGATGTATTATTACAAGCTTTTATTTAGCTTGCGTTATGTAAATAAAAGTATGTAGGTATGTTCGTATGTTGATGCAATTATCCTCAATCCTCAACCGACTGGGATAAAATTTTCCATACACGTTTATTTTGGATGATAGTGCATAGTTAGCTGAGAGTCGTCATTGGATAATAATGGTGGATAGCCTAAGATGTGTACTAGATATTTATTTTTAACATAATATGCGTAAGTACCTAATCGAATTAAAGAAGTTGCTGAGAAAAATACAGAACAATACGATAATAAACTAGCGTCTGCGTTTAATCCTCCGAGGAGATGTAATTTTACAAAGGCTTTTTGTATTTATTTTATTATTTTTTTAATAAATTTATTGTAAATAACAAGAAATAATCATTGTAAAAAAATAGGCACTCTATTGTTGAATTTTCGTCAGACCAACTAATCATCGTTCATTTTTTTAGGTTCAATGGGGAGACCTAAAGATTTACGCATATGGGAGCACTACCGTACTTTACCAAACAAGTCTGTTTCTTGCAAGCTTTGTAATAAGGTCTACAAATTCAGTAATGCTGCCAAAATGCTTCAACATCTTATCACTTGTCCAAAATCTCCAGAAACATTAAAAGACTCTATGAAACTTATAAAAGATAGCTCGTCCAAAACCAAAATGTCTGGACTGTCAGAGATAGAGACAAATGATTCTTTTATAAGCCCCTCGTCGTCTGCTAACACTACAATAAATGCTGAGTTTCAAGACACCGATGATCATATAAAAACAGAATTAGCGAGAGCTATATTTGTAACAGGGACGCCATTATCGATGGTGCAACATCCTTTATGGATACAATTTTTCGAAAAATTGCAACCAAAATTTAAAATACCTTCACGTAAAGCTTTAGCGACAAAATACTTAGATAAAATATATAGAGAAATGCGTTTTGAGTTAAATGAGGAACTAAATGCTTGTAGTTACTTACACCTTCAGTGCGATGGCTGGTCTAATTTAAGAAATGAAGGAATAATAAACTTTCTTATATCAAAACCTCAACCTGCATACGTTAAAAGTTTGAATACAGAAAGTAATCCTCACACTAGTGAATACCTTAGCCAAGAAGTTGAAAAAGTAATGAAAGTGTATGGAGCAAATAAGTTTCTTGTACTTATTGGCGATAACGCTAGAAATATACAAAAGGCATTCGAATTAACAAAACTCAAATATCCACATGTTGTTCCTCTCGGTTGCTGTGCACATATCCTTAACTTGTTGTGCCAAGATATTGTAAAGATACAAGAAGTAACTGTGTTTATTATGCAAGCCATAAATATAATAAAAACTGTTAAAAGGAGTCAACGATTAAGTTCCTTGTTGATAAAATCAAGGCAGGGTGAAGATTCTACACAAACACTAAAATTGCCTTGTGCTACAAGATGGGGAAGTCATGTTACTTCGTTAAAAAGTTTGAAAGCAAATAAGATAGCTTTGCAAATATTAACAGTTAGAGAAGATGTGGTAATTTCAAGAGATATTAAAGATTTAATTCTAAGTGATGATTTCTGGACGAAGACAGGGGAATGTATAAGTATTTTGGAACCAGTCACTGAAAGCATATTTTACTTAGAGAGCGACCAGAATCGTTTGCATCGCACATACATTACATTTAGAGATGTACAAGCTAAGATACGTTTTGCATTAAATGAGATTTCGACATTGAGCGAAGAAAGCAAACAGCAGATTCTAACATCAGTATCTTCAAGATGCAATATGGCAATGAGGCCAATACATTTTGCAGCATATATTCTAGACCCCAGGACTCTAGGAGTCGAACTTACTCAAGAGGAAGAACTTAAGGGTATGGAGTTTATCTACAATTTAAGCCAACACTTAAGTTTGTCAAATGTAATGGCAGATTTGGCGTGTTATAAAGCTAAAGAAAACTTTTGGGCCAGAGGATTTGTATGGAGCTCATTAGATAGCATTGAGCCCCTAATATGGTGGAAAGGTATTTGTGGTTCCACTGAGTTAAGCAAAGTAGCGATTCGTATTCTATCAGCTCCCTGTACTTCGGCAGCCACTGAGCGTTCCTTTAGTATCCAAGGCTACATACATAATAACAAAAGAAATCGACTTACAACTGAAAGAACTGAAAAAATTTCATTCATTTGTTATAACTGGAATCTTAAACATAAAGCTGAATGCGAGGACATTCAGTTTAATGAAGAAAATACCTTAGAAGCTTTCATTGAGCAAGTAAATGAACATAACAGTTTAGACGAAATAGAGCCTATCGAACCTATACAATTCATCGCTTGTAATAACTCTGAATCTGACAGTGATTGACTGTAGTTTTACATTTTACTTTCATCTCTTTCTTAATAAACTCAAAATCAAATTAAAAGTTTTTTATTCTGTAGGCTGCATAATAATATTGTCTATGTCCAGTATAGTGGACGTCTTGCGGCTGAGATGACGATGATGAAGTACAAAATCATAAACACCCAAAAATTTGGGTGTTTATGGGGTTTAAACCCAATAAACCCAAAACACCCGGTTTTTACCCACCAGACTTTAAACCCACCCAGGTGGATTGCCCATCTCTAATTGCTAGCAATGGTGCTTTAAACCCAATTACTATTAAACCTTTTACCTCCAACTGGTCTGATTTTATCCAAACCTATCATCTTTTTTTAATTAATTTAATTGTGTCGAAAAACAATATTAATGAATGTTCTAAAAATATTCTGCAATGCAATAATTATTATAATAACGCATAGTATGTATTTTCAGACATACATGTCTGAAAATTGCGTTTGGCCGAAAATCGCTTGGAGCCTAGGATGGGCATTAGACAATTCTTGAGTAGTCCCTCCCTTAACCCCCCCCCCCCCCCTTAAATACACCTTTGTGTTTTAAATGAATGATAATGGAATGGTAACCCCATTTGCGTTAACGGTATAGACTGGCGGGACACCAGTAAGGGATGATAGGTGAGAATGAAAAGGCAGGTCTTTTTTTATGAGTGATAATGAAATAGTAACCCCACCCGTACTATCGGTATACACCGGCGGGGATATACCGATGAAGGATGATAGGTGAAGATGAAGTATGTCAGTTAGCCCATCGTGACGAATTGTTCACAATGGTTTCCAGGGAGAACCATGTGGAGGTCGACCTGATAGGGCATATTGCTAGCAATGGGGCTTTCAAACTCCATTGCTAACAATCCCTTTCCCCCCTGAAAAGGCAGGTCAGGTTATCACCCATCGTGATGAATACGCCTAGAATTCAGCACGATGGTTTCCAGAAGGTTCAGGTGGAGGTTGAACTGACAGGGCATATTGCTAGCAATGCAAATGCAAGTCCGCATTATGAACAACCCTCCCCCCCCCACACACACACCTATGCGTTTATTACAGTAAATGAGAGTCGTTGACCTACACGAGGCCTTGGATGAGACGCGACATTTCTGTAAACCAGAACGGAACTGCATAATTAATTAATTAAGTAAGTAGGTAGATACTATTTATAAATAATGCAAAAGTGTGTATAAAGATATGGAAAGATTTTTTCTTTTGAACAATAAATGAGCCATGCCGTATGTCAGTGATTCTCAACCACCGTGCCGCGGCACTTTTGTGTGCCGCCAAATTTTAAAAGTGTGCCGCCAAAATTTTGCAAATATTTAAAATTTTTGTAATAAACTATTTATGCAGTGTGTTGTAGTAAGTAAATAATTTTTATCTTTTCTTTGTGTGCCGCCAAATTTTGAATTCGTAAATATGTGCCGCCACAAAAAAAAGGTTGAGAATCACTGCCGTATGTAATCACTGGTTTATTAGAATTGATCTATATTTTAATTGTTATAGCGTTTTTAATATTCTTTAACAGACTTATATTATACTTTATGAATACAATATTGTAATACGTAAATGTAATATTTTTATTTCTAATATTTTTTTTTATACGACTTACAATGGCAAACAAGCTGACGGCCCATCTGATGGAAAGTGGTAACCGTCGCCTATAGACATGAGCAGTACCATGGATATAATAGAGTATACTGTTTCGCCCATGATATCCCCCATGCGTTGCCATTCCTGAGGACTCAGGTGTTATTCCTCTGTACCCTATAAACTCACTTCCATATCCCACGCTTCAAACCGAAACACAGCCATGCAAACACAACTGCTTCACGTTCACAAGAAGTAATCAATTTTTGATTAATCATACTGAGTCATAATGCGATCGTATGACTTCATACATATTCTATGTATTTGTTTCAAATGTTCAAATTTCAACTCACGTACTTTGGGGAACAATGTTTTTTATACAATTTTAATTAACACTTTCTGTACAAAAGGCAGCAATTTCAATCGTAATAATACATACTGTTTTAAAAAAGAGATCTTTTGTAGACATATTAGATTAAGAAACGGAGATCGTGTGTACAAATTAAATTTTCTTCGCGACAAACAGGATATCGCTTTTTAAAGTAAAAGCGGCTTCAATTATGACAAAATTAATATGGGACTAAAACTATTCGTTATAGTAAATAGGAATAACCTACCGATCACAAAAAGAATGATTAAAAACGGTTCAAAGTGGCAACGACGTATCGTGTAACAGCTTAAAAATAGAGACGAATTGGTTACTTACTCTTTTTGGTAGTTATTTAAAAAAAACTGGCAAACGAATCTATAGATAGGTACAATTAGTAAATAAATCGATATACGTTGGCGGGGCACCAGGGAGGGATGATAATTGTGGAATGATGCCAGTAAACCCATCCCAACGTAACCAACCTGATAGTGCTAACAATGGCCCAGTTTTTTTAATGCATGATTAATGGAATGGTAACCCCGCCTGCGCTAACGGGATACGCTGGCGGGGCACCAGTGAGGGATGATAAGTGAATAATGAAAAAAGCAGGTCAGTCAACCCATCGTGACGAAGTCACGATAGTTTCCAGGAGGAACCGCGTGGAGGTCGACCTGATACGGTATATTGTTAGCAATGGGAATTGACTTCCTCATTACTAACAATCCCTTCCCCATACAATGGCGCAGTTAGAACCCATTAGTAACAATCTCTTTCTCTCTTCAAGTCATCGGTTGCTATCTCGTTCTATCTCATGAACAATGGTAATGCGGCAATTGGTATTTAGTGTTTCGTTGAGTTAAGCTACTGTAGCATAGCAATACGTACGTACATACGATGGGATGGATTAAATGCGATGATAAGTTTTATAGATAAAAATAATTATTTCATGCTATAAATCTTCAAGTAAGTTGTTGAGGAGTGTGTTTATGGACAAGGAGGCACTTCGTTATTTTCACATAGCGAGTTAACCTAATTATTTCGGTAATATTTTATGATCTACTTTCAGATAACTGATTATGCAACGAAGCTATTAATGGTTCCTTAGTGAAATAAAGAGTGATAGAAGCATTTCACATACCTAGTGTTTCTAATTTAATATTATTTATTTATACTTTATTACAAAGAAAGATTAGATTCTTATAAATTATTATTAGCAAAGATTGTACAATAGGCAAATTTAACTAATGAAGAGGTCTTTATTCCGCAAACTTAGAGAGGAAAGGAGCAATAATTAATTATTTTTAATTTGATTTAGGAGCTTTTTTTAATACCACTGAAGTAGCAAACAAGCATACGGCTTACTTGGTTGTAAGCGGTTACTGTAGTCTATGAAGGCCTGCAAGACCAGAGGTATTAAGCGCGCTTTGCCGACTTTGCTGAAGAAACCTTTTTATCTTTTTTTTGAAGAACCTCATTCTGTAGTCTCTTGGAAAAACATTGACAGGGAAATTATACCATAATGAGCGTTCGTGGGAGAAAACATCTCTGAAACCGCGCTGTACGCGACCATCTAGGTTCTAAGGTATGGGGATGAAAACCCTGTCGATGGCGAGCTGTACGATGGTAAAAAATGGCGGTAGATATTATAATGAACAATTTCTCTGAATACAGTCCGTTGTACAAACGGTAAAATACGCAGAGTGGGCTTATTAAGCACCTAGTGTATTTGTAAAAAAGCGAGTTTAATCACACACACCAATAAAATAAGAGATGTTTCATTGCTTCATATAAACTGTGAATATTACAAAGAGGAAAGATTAGAATAAAACAAAAAAAAAAACAGTCGATTTTAAAAATTCTTTCACGTAAAAATAACTACATTGTCAGTGAGTAGTTTGTATTTTATTAAAAAAAAAGCGTACGTATCCAAGGCGGATATCTAGTCTAAATATTTCGTGTAAACCTATAGATTTTCCTTCGCAACGAGTAGGTTTTTTGCTTATTATTTTTACCACAACTAACGTGAGCAAAACCGCGGGATGCAGCTATAATAAAAATAGTTTTTAGGAAATTCATTAAAACCGCACGGTCACGAAATCGACTAGTACACATTCAGACTCGACTTTGGTCGGTTTTTAAATATAAAGTTGTTAGACTTCCGTTATTATTCTTGCTTTCTTTAATAAAGCAAACAACCGGTCGTTTCATTGACATTTTGCTAATATCTAAGCTTGTTATTTAGGTGACAGAACAAGTGAAAGTAATTTCACAAGATACCTAGCTATGTAGTCCTTGTAGTGAATAACAAGTTTCGATAAACGAGTTATTACCATTCTGACTAGTTCTGTTTGTGTGATGAAAGACGCAACGAACAGAAATATCATTATCATCATCGTCATTAGCCCAGTGCAGTCCACTGCTGGACATGTCTCTCCTAAGGCATGCCACCGAGTACGATCTTAGGGTCTTCCTTTCCTATTTTTACCAGCCACTCTGGGGGAAAGGGATTGTTAGCGATGGAGTCTAACAGTCCCATTGCTAGCAATGTTACTAATCAGGTCGTCCTTCACGTGGTTCCTCCTGGAAACCATCGTGGTTACTTCTCGTGGAATTTTTACGATGGGCTAACTGACCTGATTTCATCGTCATCTATCATCTCTCACTGGTGCCCCGCAAGTGTATACCGTTAGCGCGGGCGGGATAGCCATTCTATTATCATCCATTAAAAAAAAACACTCTACGTATGTCGTCGCTCTATCTAGCCACAGGCTCAGGGCCGTAGCTAGACCTAAGTTTATTAAGGGTAACATAACTTTATCGTAGGGCAGAAGCCATAATTAAGTGGCTTCGAAAAAGCTAATCCGTTTAAATTTTTGGGTTATTAATTTTAAGGACATTGCCCCCCTCCCCCCAGCTACGGCTATGCACTGGTTGCCTTACACTACACTTGCGACACGTGGACTCCACTTCAGAATGTCTGTTCGAACAGTTATCTATTTTACTAATGTTATGACCAGTCTACTATCAGTTCAGTTTACAAATCTGCTATGTCGGTAGTTCTGGTCTTCTGACGAATTTCTTTGTTTCGGATTAGATCACTCTAGAGAAACACCAAGCATATTTTTTTTAATAGATGATAATGCAATCGTAACTTTAAACGTGAAGGTCGACCTGATAGGGTAGAATACTAGCAATGGGGCTTTTAGACCCCACTGCTAACAATTCCTTCCCTCCGATAAATTCAGGTTTTTTTATTGATGATAATGGAATAGTAGACCTGCCTGCGTTAACGATATGTGTTGGGGTATCAGTATGAGATGATAGGTGAGAATGAAAAGGCAGGTCAATTAGCCCATCGAAATGATAATGCTGGAATTCAGAGTATATTGCTAGTAACGACTGGTAGTTTGCATTACTAACAATCCCCCCCCCCCCCCCCACCCTTCCAAAGTCAGATTAGTCAGCCCATTGTGTTTAATTGAATAGAAATAACCACGATGGTCTCAATAGGGGGTCGCATAGAGGTAGACCTAAGAGTGTAATGTTAGCAATAAAGCTACTAGTTTGATTTTTTTTTATACAACTTAGAATGGCAAACAAGTTGATGGCCCACCTGATATATAATAGTTTGAATATTATTTTCTTACTTGTATTATATTTTGTTGAGAAGTGGGGGATGAGATAGTAACCGCTCTTAGAAATAAAACACATATATTATTATGAATATTATATTCGATTCATGAACAGTGGCACAGTTAAAAGATTAAATGCTTTATATAACATATAAAATTGAGACATAACATATAAACGAATTCCTTGTCCCGTAAAAAAAAAATAGTATGTGGGTTGGCGCAGTTCTACTGCAATGCTTTGACCTATATTATTTCAAATAGCAATCTATGCAAAACTAAATTATTGTGTTTATAATTTTGTCTAAGCGGAAAGCTCTAAGTCATTCGATATATTTAATCTATGCTATTAGCGATTGAAAAAAAAAGAAACGATTTTGATGGATTATGGGCTGTACGAGTATATAGATGCACAGTTTAAACTCCTATCAATCGCTTTAAATATGCGCATTTATGCTTATATAAATAAATGTGCTTTCTGAAACCAATCTTATTGCATTAGCTAATCTGCGATGTAAAAAAAAAAGAAGTATCTGCCAGTTGCATCGTTATAATTTTCTATATTTCACGATAATGTATGAGTGTTATTTTGTATTTCAAACACAAATAGAACAAATAAGAAAAAAAAATTTATTCGTAATAACAATCAAAGCTTTCAGTTATAATAATTATAAATTGTATAATTAAGCGTCGCGTCATGTAGTAGGTGTAATACATTGTACCTTCAAAACTTGTATGAAGCTTTTATTGCTATTTATTCAGTTCTCAGAGGCAGGTCATTGCACTATCATATGTGTGCTTATGGGCGGAGCTGGGCTGGCTGTACTAGCCGCGACTCATACGTACCACGGCTCAAATGAGAGGCTAAGCGCGGAAAATAGTCGAATTTAAATTTACATATATGGCCATGTGCATATCCTGTGATATAAATACAAGATGGAAATTAAATGTTGTAAAATTTGTGCATCTAGCATGCATCAAATGCATCTAGCATGGATTCTATTCAATTATATATTGTAATAATAATCAACACTTTCTCGTGATCAAATATTTTGCTGTATCAGTTATTTTTTTTATGGTTTTAGTGACCTGGTGGTCCACCATGAAATGAAATTCCGAAATTTCGGGCTCAATTTCGTGTTTTTGTTCGTGTCAAAATCGACACAGTAAATGGAGCTTAACATTTCGTTCATCATAAATCCTATTCTAATAGTCCAGAAGAACGATATTTTAACATTTTTAATAATTTTAAACAGCATGTATTATGTAATTTTAACATCAAATTTCTGTTCCGTTCGTCCCCGAAATTTCGGAAAATACTTCATGGTAGGCCCTCTGGTTGTTACCTACATCATACTAACAAGTATATCTCAAAATGGATATGATCCTATATATATGACAGTCTAATTATCCCCTTAGATATATTACATATTAGAAAGAATGAAAGAACAGAGAAATTACACTGTATTTAATCAAGACATTTACATGTAGCTTTTGACTAAAAAAAGTAGACTTTAGTAGGATAAATGGATAATAAAATCAAATAGTTATATGTGTATATATATTTTCAAAAGTACTTAAATAATACGTTGACAAAACATGTTAGGGTTCAGTAGATGCCTACCGGAATAATAATTATATTAAACGCTCATTTTTTTATGGTTACTGTTTATTTTTCTTCTTTTTTTCAATTTAAATGGCTGCCACCCATTTTGACTGGTGAATCTGCCATATCATGCCAATGTCATGTTTAAGAAGGCACGGTGAAATATTTTTATTTCTGTGGTTCTTGAATCTGGTTGGTAGTGAACAATATGTCTATTGTTTATTGTTTGGTTTATTTGTCGACTGGTCGTTTTTTGACAATTGTCGCGCCATCTAGATGCTTATTATCTAGTATCAATAAATAGAAATACCCTAAGTATTTAACAACATGACGTGCTTAGCGTTGAAGTGTTCTTGAAACCAAAGTGTAGCATATAGGAGTATGCTACACTTTGGTTCATCAATCAGATTCATCTTCCTACCCTTTTTCCAATTATTTGGGGTCGGCGTAATGTTTTTATCCATATTACAAAAAGATTTCACTTTTAGTTATACGACCGGTCGCCTGCCCGACGTCAACCATCTTTGGGAAAATTCTTCCAAATCTGATTATAAATATAAAATATCTAGGACAGTTGTAATGCAAATCGATCTATTGTTTATTAAGTCCCAAACAAATTTAACAGACTTATCATGTGAGAGCGTGATCTGATATCAAAAGATAGAAGATAGATAGATCGAAAGAAGTCAGGCATGAGTTTAAGTTTTGTAAGTAAATAACTACTAAACCCATAAAAAAAAAAGTTGGTGACATTGGAGTAGAATTAACGTCTTGTGACTGGTTGCCATTCATCTTCTTCAGGGTCGCGAGCTGCGAAAGAGAAAGAAAATTGTTTACTTATTAATTTACAAAACAAAACTTGTCTAACTATTTAACATAAGCATAACAAGTTTAAAGTCCAAGAATTTATAAATCAAATAATGAGTCAAAGAATTTAAAAAACAAAAAAATGTCAAGAACGACAAAAAGTGAGGGGTGGCAAAATTAATATAGAGAGCGGCTGATGGCAATAACAGATTTGAAGCACTGCTTATATTATATAATGCGCGTGAGTGCACGAGGCATTTTCAATTCAAATAAAATGCGGGCCCTGAGTAGATTTTTCAGGTTGAAAATTGGGTTTATTAACAACTTTATAAACAACTTATGAAAATAATAAAAAATGTAATAAATATCAGAGTTACAAAGGTGTTATAATTTGTTTCAATAGCACTTACTGAAAATTAAAACTAGGGGTGTCACGTGCACGTTGTCGACCCTGAAGAAACCTTAATATACCCTTTTTGAAGCACCCCATTGATCTGGAAGGACTGTAGTCTTTAAATAGTTTAAAATACTCACGTTTGTCGTCGCGTCGTGGCGGCGGGCGTCGATCGCGGTCGTCACGGCGGGGAGCATCGCTGTGGATTTTAATTATTTATTTTATTTTATTTTAATTAGTATTTTTTAATTAGAATATCAAGTTGACTTTCTATCCGACGATTTCGTTATAAATGAAATTATTCTTTAAAATTTGTTATATATATATATATATATATATATATATATATATATATATATATATATATATATATATATATATATATATATATATATATATATATATATATATATATATATATATATGTATATATGTATGTATGTATGTATGTATGTATAGTTTTTATATACATAGTTTAGTTAAACTGTTGTCTGACAATGAGTAGACAAAACTGAACATTTTCAACAAGAGATAACAAAACAAATAAATTGTATCAAGAAATGGTCATTTGGACAAAAACTACACTTGAACAAAATTTATATTTCTGTTCTGTCTATGTTAATGAGGCGTTATTTCGAAGTGTAGACAATTCAAGCGTAGACCACTTACCGATCATCCCTCCTTGGTGGTTCCCGGTCTCTGTCCCTGTCGTCTCTTCTGGGAGGGAAGCGGTCGCGATCACGGTCACGGAAGTCCCTGTCGCGGTCACGATCGCTGCGGTCACGGTCGCCGCGGTCGCCACGGTCGCGGTCGCGGTCACGGTCACGTGGCGCGTCGCGGTAGCGGTCGTCGCGTGGAGGCGCATCTTTTGACCGCCACGCGCCTGAACGCTCCTGTTTCGTGCGTGCGTACAAATAAATTTCAAAAAAAAAAAGTCAAAGAACATAAATTCAGATTATGAGTTCCTTTTTCATAGAAATTCACATATCGTCATAGTCGTAGAATACTGACGGATCTGACAAAGATTACATATAAAGATCCGTCAGTATTCTACGACTATGACGATATAGCTGCTCACCTACAATAAATCACAATTAATTGTGGGGTCAGGTTGACCACATTATGGTGAATTCAAGATTTAAGCGGGATTTTATTTCTCCACCGTCGTCATGATGATATCATGGATGTGTACGGCATTTGTATATGAATGAATAGTCAATTAGCTGACAAATAAAAAATGCAGTACGAACCGTTGGTGCAGGTGGTGGATCAGCGGCTGCACGTCGCCAACTACCGCTCTCCGGTCCACTTGACCGTCCGCCGTAACGAGGCCTGATGATAAATAGACATATTTATTACAATTTATTTTTCTATGGACCCATATGAAATTCTATTGTACAAAGACATTTATATGTATTTAAAACAGGTGGATTATTTATCCATATCCGGCTCCAAGGATCAAATTTTTATAATGGCGTACGTCATACAAACAAAAGTAACGTCAATATTATTTTTATTTATGCAACTATTTTTTTAAAACATGTATAAGAGTTGTATAATAGGAAATTATTTCCAGCAATTTCACTGATCTGATGACTACTGGTATATAACAAGATATAAAAACAACTGAGTTTCATTACAAACAAAGAAAATCATAAACTCACCTTTCCCTATCGCGATCTGGTTCACGTGCAGCAGTGGAGCGCCACGCTCCTTCTTCTCTTGGTCCACGATCGTCTCTTGGCCCACGATCATCCCTCGGCCCGCGGTCGTCCCTTGGTCCGCGGTCGTCTCTCGGGCCACGATCGTCTCTTGGGCCGCGGTCGTCCCTTGGGCCACGGTCATCTCTTGGCCCGCGATCGTCTCTCACAGCACGGTCATCTCTTGGGGGACGATCGTCTCTTGGGGGACGATCATCACGTCTACAAATATAGTAACACGATTATGACTCCCACAAACTAATCTTAACTATTAAAATGTTTCTTCATTTTCAGATTGAGAATTTAAAGCACTTTAATAATGATTAACATTTTAATGAACAAGGAGATTTTTTTTTAAGCAATGGCAATAGCATAGTAATCTTGTGCTATGACGTCATATAAGTGTGATATGATATAAGTGAGGATTAAATCCAATCAGTTGGCCTATCATTATAAATTCACCTGGAATGATCACTATGATTACAATGATTTTAGGGTGGATTTCAAGACCAATCTGGCAATATAATCAGACCTTACACCTCCAGATTGAAGATAGTTAAGAGATACTCGCCTGTCGTCTCTTGGCGGGGGGCGGTCGTCACGCGGCCGTCTGTCAGGCGAGCGACGATCATCACGGGACAACTCGGCGCGACCGCGACCTGCGTACAACATTAGTCTATAATAATTGCTATTTATATTCATTATAAATAAGCATAGAATTAGTTAGGCGACTGACTATTTCTTTTTGAGTAATGCTAGGTCCAAATGACGTAATTTTGTTAGTACATTTCCATTTGGCGTTCAATTGTTTTTGCCTACCCTAATGGGAGACAGACGTGACGGATATGTATGTTTTGGCGCAATAGCAATTTGACACTTAACACTGGCATTAATATCAAAATTACGTATGAAATGAAAATTATTTTGATCCTTCGAGCCGGATATGTACCAGCGATCTATGGACCATTTTATTCCTTAATACAAAAGGTGTGGTAAAACACGCTGGAATTTCGTCATAATTACATGCCTGTACAACGCCAATAATTCCTTATTCTATATTTATGGTACTTTTCAAATATATAGTTAATATGTATTTTGGGGGTAAGCATGCACTATCTTAGATACTTATCATCACTAAAAACAATATCCAGTAGTGCAAACTTATTGTGAAGTAAAAAAAGTAGTGGCAACTGACTTGGTCTCCAGGGTTCGGGTTTCTTGTCGGCATCCTTGGTGTCCTTGGCGCGCCAGGCGTCGTCGCGGTCGGGGCGGTCGGTGCGGTCGGCGCGGTCGGCGCGGTCGGCGCGGTCGGCGCGGCGCCAGCTGCTGCCGGCGGCCGCCTTCTGCTCCTCCAGTCGCCGCGCCACTTCTGCCTCTTTAGCGCGGATCTTCGCCTCTGTACGTGCCAGCATCTCCTGGTGCTCTCTGCGACAAAAAAAACTATCAATATGGGAAGTACAGAAAAGATTACAAAAATAATTATCATCAGTTGAGAATTAGTGAAACAATTACGTACATAATTATCGTTAGTGACATCATCAGCCATCATTTATTTATTCTGTAGTGCATACATGTGTACAAGGCGGATTAAATCTTTAAAGCATTTTCTCCCAGTCATTTTTAGGGAAATAATAGAAAAGATACACACAGAGAAGAAATCTATGTATAAAGATTGTGTATGAATACAACACGGCACGTGTTGTCTTCATTTCTTTTAGTCTCGATTGAACTATGAATGAAAAAAAAAAAAACATTTCAAAATTCCCAGAGCAATAAGGCAATAAACTTTCAGCAGGCGCAGTAGTGCAAAATGACAATTTCAACACTGTGCTGTGACTGTTTACCGTTCTTCTCGCTCCTTCCGTTCGCGCAGTGCCGCGAGCTCCTCCTGGTGTTTCCGCTCGCGCTCCTCCCGCTCCTTCCGCTCCTCCTCCTCGCGCAGGCGGCGCGCTTCCTCTGCAGCGCGTTCCTCTGCACGGCGCTTCTCTGCCAGCCAGTCCTGGCGGCGGCGCTCGACGCGCTGCTGGCGGCGGGCGGCGCGGCGCCGCTCGCGCTCGGCGGCGAGCTGGTCGCGGAAGGCGGCGAGGCGCTGGTGGTGCGCGGCGCCGCGCTCGGCGCGCACGCGCGCCACGAACGCGTCGCGCTGCGCGTGCATGCGCGCCAGCCGCGTCGACGTCGCCACGTCGCGCGCGCGGGCCTCTGCACGCGCACACACAACATCCTCGTTTACATCTCCTCACAAATATACACATGACAAACCCTATACGCCCGGGGGAAGGGATTATTAGTAATACGGACTATCAGTTCCATTGCTAAACAATATACCCTGTCAGGTCAACCTCCACGTGATCCCCCCTTGAAAACATCATGCTGAATCCCAGATGTATTCATCACGATGGGCTAACTGACCTACTTTTTTATCTCGCCTATCATCCCTCACTGGTGCCCCATCAGCGTAGAGCGTTAGCGCAACCGGGGCTACCATTCCATTGTCATCTATTAAAATGAAATCCCTATACGCCCTAGCAGACTACTGCGTTTTGCGTGCATATGTGGCTACGCTAACGCGCATGTGCTTACGCTAACACGCATGTGAATACATTGTGCGATACAGTAAGGCTAGCGTGGGGGGAAGTGATTGTTAGTAATGGAGACTAAGAATCCCATTGCTAACAAAATACCCAACCAGGTCGACCTCCTCGCGGTTCCCCTTGGAAACTATCATGGTTAATTTCTGATGAATTCATCATGATGGGCTAACTGGCCTGTTTCCATTCTCACCTATCACCCATCATTGGTGCTCCGCCAGCGTATTCCGTTAGCGCAGGCGGGGTTACCATACCATTTTCACCCATCAAAAAAAAAAAAGTAAGGCTAGCGTTAAATTCAACATATCTGCAATTGCCAACGATACGTAACGGAACACCAATATATCAAATTATATAAAATTTGCAACTTTCGGTCATACTATGCCGAAGATAGGTCATTACGACGAAACTCTCGTATGCGACATTTTTTCCGCCGTCGAGATAACGAGCTTGAGTCGACGGAAAATAGCATTACAAGCTGTCTTATGTAATAAGCTACACTTTACAGGCGAACCGCAATGAATGCTGGCTTTTATAAATATTAATGCAACCGATGATATGTTGAATGAGACGTTAGTTTTAAATCCTTCTGTCACTCGCGCAACAACTATACTGCGAACCCAAAATAACCCCAAATAACGTTTACAATGGACTATATAGTGAAATAGCAATACAAACTGACCGATAAGTTGTGCGATGCGTTCGGCCTCCTGTTGCTCCCAGAACGCCTTATCCTGTACTTGCTTTTCTTCCAAACTCTTCTGCAACAATGGAATCTCTTCCAAACGTTTCGCACGCTCGAAATAGTCCACCTACAAGAAATAATTACATATTAAAATGCTATCCTAATCCCATTATATATAGATTTAGGTATACCAATCCATATCTAGTCACTATAATATGTAATAAGTAAAGTTTACCTTCTTTTCCTGTGACTTCAGTTTTGCCTGCATTTCACGGCGTTCCTTCATTAGTTCCTCTGCCTCACGTTGGGCTATAGCTTCCGCGTCCATTTTCTTTATTTCCTGTATTAAAAGTATTTAGAAAATTAATTAAATGTTGTTAAGTTTAGTAAAAAATTTACAAAGAAATATATCTTTCATAATTCTATAAAATGTTGTAGTGACATTTTATTATGTGAATGACTCAAAATCTGTTTTCATATTTAGAGAAGGAGCTTAATCAAAAATTTATTTAATTGCTCAGTTTCATGAATATGGACATTGGGTTTCATTTTATGAGTAAACATTATTCAGGTTAAAATTCTCATAGGAAAAGATATATTTTTAAAGATACAAGTAACTATAATTTTCCATTAGTCTAAATTACAGGGTACAGAATCATAGTCGTCAGAAATAGTAAAGCAAGATATTTTTTTTTATACAACTGATGGGAAGTGGTAACCGTCGCCTATAGACATGAGCAGTACCATGGACATAACAGAGTATACTGTTTCGCCCATGATACCCCCCATGCATTTCCATTCCCGAGGACTCAGTTGTTATTTTTCTGTACCCAGTAAATTCACACCATATCCCACCCTTCAAACCGAAACACAGCCATGCAAACACAACTGCTTCACGGTTGAAACACAAATGGGACAGAGGTATCCAAGCAATCGACTTTTGTGTATGAGCAGTATAATGGCAAACGTGGTGTGGATGCGTGGGGGCGCGTACCTCCTCGTCGAGCTTCTGCAGCATCTTCTTGCCGTGCGCGGTCTGCGAGATGTGCGCCATGCGCTCGCGGCGGTGGCGCTCCTTCATGGCGGCGATCTCGGACGCGTACTTGCGCTTCTCGCGCTCCTCGCGCTCCAGCTCCAGCCGCCGCGCCTCCGCCGCCGCCGCCGCGCGCAGCTGCTCCTCTTGCCGCCTGCCCGCCAACACTCATCTCAAACACATACTTGGGGACAAAGGAAATCATTTTGATTCATTCTTTATGAATTCATTACTGTGGGCCAACTGGCCTGTTTCAGCCTCGTCTATCATCCTTCACTGGTGCCCCACCAGTGTATACCGAAAGCGAAGTTGGCGTTACCATTCCATTATCACTAATTAAAAAAAAAACATCCAGATAGATGTCTTTTTTAATCTAACACATGTTAGAAGTAAACACTCCAGTGACGTCTTTGTTACCTTTGCCTATACTCATTATTAACACTATTTTCCGAAACTTTATTCGTGTGATTCAGTGCATAAAGTAGTACAAAAGTTAGGCTTAAAATCCTCGAACTAAATTTCATTCAAATCCATTAGGCCATTTAAATAAAATTGTTCATTATTATTTAAAGTTCCACCACTAAACTCTCATTTAATCGATCATTTATAAATGTTGCAATTTCTTCATAAAATACAATGTTTCAGAAATATACAAACTATTAGCGTACTCACTATGCATAATATTAGAATTCAATATTTATTTTTTTTAGAATTTAAGTTTGTATTTTAATACAACTTCGATCAATATGAAATAGAAAGACAATTTTCAATACAACTTTAAAGGAGGAGATTTCTCAATTATTTTAAAACCATATTTGTGCCTTTTAAATTTTATTCAAACTATATTATTTAGATAAAAATGTCATGATAGTAACCTGAGCTCCTCCTCTTCTCGCACGGTGTTGAGCCGCTCAATGTACTCCTTGCGCTCCTCGATGATCTTATGGCGCTGCAGCACGCGGTGGTGCTCGGCGTGCTTGTTGTCGTGGTAGTGCTGCAGCATGTGCAGCCGCGCACGCTCGGCCTCGGCGCGCCGCCGCGCCGGGAACAGGCGGCCCGCCGCGCCCGCCAGCACCGCCGCCGCCCGCACCAGCTGCTCGCGCACCTGCCGCACACGCACACCTCACACGCATCGCACCACACCACACTACACTACACTACACTACACTAACAGGCGGCCCGCCGCGCCCGCCAGCACCGCCGCCGCCCGCACCAGCTGCTCGCGCACCTGCCGCACACGCACACCTCACACGCATCGCACCACACCACACCACACTACACTACACTACACTACACTAACAGGCGGCCCGCCGCGCCCGCCAGCACCGCCGCCGCCCGCACCAGCTGCTCGCGCACCTGCCGCACACGCACACCTCACACGCATCGCACCACACCACACTACACTACACTACACTACACTAACAGGCGGCCCGCCGCGCCCGCCAGCACCGCCGCCGCCCGCACCAGCTGCTCGCGCACCTGCCGCACACGCACACCTCACACGCATCGCACCACACCACACCACACTACACTACACTACACTACACTAACAGGCGGCCCGCCGCGCCCGCCAGCACCGCCGCCGCCCGCACCAGCTGCTCGCGCACCTGCCGCACACGCACACCTCACACGCATCGCACCACACCACACTATACTACACTACACTACACTAACAGGCGGCCCGCCGCGCCCGCCAGCACCGCCGCCGCCCGCACCAGCTGCTCGCGCACCTGCCGCACACGCACACCTCACACGCATCGCACCACACCACACTACACTACACTACACTACACTAACAGGCGGCCCGCCGCGCCCGCCAGCACCGCCGCCGCCCGCACCAGCTGCTCGCGCACCTGCCGCACACGCACACCTCACACGCATCGCACCACACCACACTACACTACACTACACTACACTAACAGGCGGCCCGCCGCGCCCGCCAGCACCGCCGCCGCCCGCACCAGCTGCTCGCGCACCTGCCGCACACGCACACCTCACACGCATCGCACCACACCACACTACACTACACTACACTACACTAACAGGCGGCCCGCCGCGCCCGCCAGCACCGCCGCCGCCCGCACCAGCTGCTCGCGCACCTGCCGCACACGCACACCTCACACGCATCGCACCACACCACACCACACTACACTACACTACACTACACTAACAGGCGGCCCGCCGCGCCCGCCAGCACCGCCGCCGCCCGCACCAGCTGCTCGCGCACCTGCCGCACACGCACACCTCACACGCATCGCACCACACCACACCACACTACACTACACTACACTACACTAACAGGCGGCCCGCAGCGCCCGCCAGCACCGCCGCCGCCCGCACACCTCACACGCATCACAACACGCTGCGCCACACCACACTACACTACGCTAACAGGCGGCCGGCAGCATCCGGTCAACTCGCACACTATTTTTCAGTACACAATTATAGGTAGTGATCTATATATAGCTACTAAGGATGATTTTTCAAACATTTATTTTCATTTTTATGTTTGTTACCTCATAACTCTATCAGTTCAGTATCAGTAAACAGATTTTGAAAATTCTTTTTTTTCCAAACAAATCACAAATCTAATAAACATCAGATTGATAGATTTATGACAATCTTATTGCAAATTCTCTAATTATTATCAATACATACATGGGTCTATTTATATATTTATTTATAGCTACATTCTCATTATTGTACTATTGATAAACATTCAATAAAGTGAATATAAGATGTATTTCATACCTGTTCAGCAGGAGTAGCTTGCAGTATAGCGCCGCCGCAGGCTTCATCGGCAGCGGAACACCACTCGCCACCGCCCGCTTCGACGCCAAAGTTTACACACCTGAAAGAAAGAAAAAAAAGTAAATTTTGTATACATTCTAATGTGCCTTATACAAAGTTGATCTAACAATTGTTCGATTTTTAAAATTAAAAGAATAAAATGTAAACCAGTCAGCTTAGAATTAATTGAATATAGAATGTTATGTTTGCAGTGATTGTCACAGTCAAAAATATCTATTACCTATTTCATTAGGAATTACAATCATGAGTAAGTTTATTTTTTTTTTATTTATGCTGAAAAAAGCTTGCCAGAGATCCCAAGATAGAATACCAGTGTAAATCTCTGAATTTTTAAATTAATGCTTGGATCATTTAAGAATGATTGCTACTAACTTTGTATTTTGGAGGGCAAATAGTAGTCATCCGGTAAGCCATGTCAGATACCTAACGTGTGATCCTAATTGCCTAAAAGCTCTTGACATTAGAGGGCGCCTCTATGGCACGAGTACTAAGTAATAGAGGTACTGACTTGTTGGCGTGATCGATCCGAATCTGCATATCGTTATGCCGCACACAGTCTACAAGTAATCTTTCCAGATGGAACAGGTCGTCGGTGCCGGCCAGCTCAAGAAGGCGAGAGAACTGCACGCAGGCGTAGCACTGCGCCACCTGGCGGATCAGACGGACGAGCGCCACGTCGTTCAGGGCCGCCGTGTACTGAGCCAGCGGCGAGTCTGTTGGACACACATATTGTATTATAAATACTGTCTAAAAAGAGATATAGATCTAAAAAAAATTAATATTTTAAATTTAACTTACTAGGTTCATCCTGTAGCGACTTAATAATACCCTTAACATTGTGACAGATCGTTAATGGGTCAAATTCCACTTCCAGCCAGGAGTACAGCTGTTGTAGCTGAGGCGATGCCAGCGCCACCACATTCAAACGGATCACATCTGTAACATCCGACGATTATTTTATCTATTTTCCTATAATTAAATTAAAATGATTCTGTTTTAATATAATAGCAAGAAAAATGAAAGAGAAAGATCCCAAACAAGTGTTCAAGTATTACGTAAAACACTTTCGGAGATTCTTGGAAAACGTTACAATGCATAACAGGGCCGAGAGAGGATTCGAACAATGCATTAAGTTATTTTTTTTTTATTTAAATTAAAAAAACTAGTGAATTAAAATTTTCAAATTAGAAATCCTTCTCGTTTGTTTTATGGGGAATACTTCGACTGTTTTGTAGGTCATTTTTATTCTTTTTGTTGTCAGTATTTGTTAGTGATGTGACTTTAAGGTAAAAATGGTTGCTTGTTATAAGGAGGGAAAGTTAAAAAATATTCAAAAATTGCATTACGTAATACTTGAAATTTCTCTATGGGAAGTACTAAATTAAATTTATTTTTGTTTTCACCATATAAATCAAATATTCAAATATTAATATGCTATTAAAACCAAAGATGGTTGACGTCAGGCAGGCGGCCGGTCGTAAAACTATAAGCTAAATCCTTTTGTAATATGGATAAAACCATATTACGCCGACCCCAAATAATAATTGGGATAAGGGTAGGAAGATGATGATGCTATTAAAAATCAGAAGTCTGGGATATCATACATTCTGCTTAATATAATATATATATATATATATATATATATATATAAACAGGATTGCATTATTAGGCAAGTTGGCTAAGGGGATGCGAGACCAAGAAAATAATAATTATTAATGAGCGATGTACCATTGCCGTGTAGTCCCGGCATAGAATAGGCCACCCTTTACTTTTCTGTGGGTGTAATAAGAATTGACTAAGAGAGGACGAGGGATGGGCAGCAGCGTCCGTCTTAAAACATCCTTAATCATCTCCTAAAACAACCCGCCTGCCAAGCATGGCCAATCCATCTACTAAGCGTGGTAACTACTGGCAAAACCCCCAAGAGGGAGGTTTATGTTCAACAGTAGACAGTTAAAGTCTGATATGATGGTGATGATGATGATGAATGTACCTTTGAGTAGACTCGCGCGGGTCGGCGGCTGCGCCAGTCCTAGAAGCACGGCCAATCGCTGCGCCTTCTCGACGGGGCTCTTGTCCGTCTCGACGAACCTGTCGAACTCGGGGTGCAACGACGGCAGTGGTACAGACAGTACAGCCACCAGGACCCGACACGCCATCCTGGTATCAATTTACGAGATTAGCACTTCTTAGATACCACTTAGGTCAACAATCTATACTTATAATAAATCTGTAGAGAGGTCAATTCTGTACATGAAATATATATCCAAAATAACTATCAGGGGATGATTAGTGATCAATACTGATGCCAAAAATGCAATCGGTAAAATTTTTGCCTGTCTGTCTGTGTCTGTATGTTCGTTATAGAAACAAAAACTACTCGACGGATTTTAACGAAACTTTGTACAATTATTCTTCATATTCCTGGGCAGGTTATAGTATACTTTTCATCACGCTATGATCAATAGGAACAGAGCAGTGAAGGGAAATGTTAAAAATGTCCACCAGTGCGACGCCGGGGCGGGCCACTACTGATAAAATAAAAGTGAAATATTAAAATAGTTGTTTACAAAATGAAACCAACTTCAATAGTGACAAAACAAATTATTTTAATTTAAAAACTAAACTATTGAATTAATTTAGATAAAATGTCTATGAGGTCAATCTGAATCCATATACTTTCAGATAAAAAAAAAATTCGAAATCAGTTTGTCACAGTTATGAAGTAACACATAAAAAAATTACAATTTAATTAAGAACCTCCACCTTTTTTGAAGTTGGTTAAAAATTAAATCACACTTTGCGTGATCTATATAAAACGGGCGAGTTATTAATTGAGACATTAGAATAGTGTAAGTTTTATGTAAATATTGTGCGGGCATAAATTAACACAGACTACATATGGTGATGCAGCCTGTCGCGTCTAGCCACCAGCTATGCTCTCCCTCCAAGGCCTACCACCACTGACAACTGATATGTTAGTGATGGGATTTAATTTGGAGGGCACATAATCAAATTAAATTGTTTCTTACATCTATTTCCCACTACATTTATAAAATACTAACTTTCTGCCTGCTATATGTACATATTAGGGATAAGTAATATATAGCAATACATATATATTGGCCCAAAAAAGATATATATTGGTTGTCCACTACATAATTTGAATTTTGCGTGATGCCGGAAAAAACATACACACAGTTTCATAAAATTAGTATGGAACAAGCCCCTATCCTATCAGCTGTTATCTGTCCACTAAACATCGCAACCCTATCAATTAAAAAGAATCATACCAGAGGGAGACTTTGTACAAAAGTCGATTGCTTGGGTACCTCTGTCCCATTCGTGTTTCAACCGTGAAGTAGTTGTATTTGCATGGCTGTGTTTCGGTTCGAAGGGTGGGATATGGCGTTAATTTACAGGGTACAGAGGAATAACACCCGAGTCCTCAGGAATGGCAACGCATGGGGGGTATCGTGGGCGAAACAGTATACACCTATCCCCCGATTTACACGGTACTTGTTTTACACGTTTTCGCTTTTACACGGTTTTCCAAATAAGTTTTTTTTTTTTTTTTGTTTTTATCGCACTCTACTAAATGCTACTAATACTAATCACGGGGAATCCCGAGCTTATGTGCTGACTTGCTGCACATGCACACTGTGTCTGTATTTCTTCACATAAAATTAAAGTTTTATCTACGGAAAATTGTATTTGAGTGAAAGTTTCACAGTGTCAGAAAGATTTAATTTTTCAGTTAAATGTATTGTAATTAAATAAAAAAACAGTGTTTCCGTAATATATTACATATTTTAACCTGTCAATGCATTTTATTTTTATTTCTGTGGACACCTAAAAATATTGAAAAAAATCACAACTATTAAATAGCAAAATTATGCATTTTCTGCAAGCTTTTCGATTTACACGGTTTTGACTTGAAAATTTTTAATTTTCGATTTACACGTTTTTCTCAGGAACGTATCTACCGTGTAAATCGGGGGATAGGTGTACTCTGTTATGTCCATGGTACTGCTCATGTTTATAGGCGACGGTTACCACTTTCCATCAGGTGGGCCGTCAGCTTGTTTGTCATTCTAAGTTGTATAAAATAAAAAACTCATAATTGCAGAAAATAAAACATTGTTGAACATATAGTGCCATACGGCATATGGCCCTGAGTCACCCACATCCAGTAACACTGCAACAGACTTGTGCCTCCTATAAATATCCTCACTTCAGATTAGAATCATTCTTACTATTAATGAATAGTTTAAGTAATTACTTTTGCAGCTCTTCCTGGGTGATATTCTTTTTCATCTCTCTAGACAGCTGGAACAGCTTGAGCAGTGCGGCAGCATGGAAAAGACAGTGTCCAGCCTTCCAGAACACCAGTGCTAATTTGCCATAGTAGTTGGCCATGGTTTTGGCCACTGGAGTTTTCTTGGACATGTTCATAAGGTTGTGAATGTCTTCTATGGCCTTGTAGGCTTCCTGTTTTGTAAAATGAGATTGTTTTATTAAAAATTGTATATATTTTTAGAATATTTTTCGTGTAGTCTTTTCATTTGCAAGAAATTATAAAAGATAGATTAGGGAAAATATTACAAAGTACCTATTTTTGTAGAGCAAAATCTGCTTGTTAATATTTCCATAAGTTTTATGTTTTAAAATCCGTTTAGAATTTCACATTTTCATTTGTTGCAATTTATTCTTTCTTTTTTGTATTGGCTTAAATTAACACAGACTTCTTAGTAATTCAGAGCCTGTCGCGTCAAACCAATAGGTTTGCTTTCCCTCCGAGGCCTACCACATTCTAACAATGGGAATGTCAGGTGTGGGATTTATTTCGGAGGAATTTTGTATTAATTGGCAACTAGCCAGGGGGCAGAAAATGAATCATTAATTTAGAATTTAATTAGAATTTGCTCACATCACTGTTTCAATTTGAAGAGATTTATATGGCTGTTATTAATAGGTACAGAGTCAGTTTACCATAGACCTTGGGGGTGAGGGATTGTCAACGATGGAGTTTAATAGCTGCATTGCTAGCAAAATACCCTGTCAGGTTATCTCAATGTCATTCTTGGAAATCATCATGGTTATTTCTTGTGGAATACATTATGATGGGTTAATTGATCTGCTTTAATCCTCACCCATCATCTCTCACTGCTGCTTTATCAGTGTATACCAATAACACAGACAGGATTACCATTCCATTTATACCCATTAAAAAAAAAACCATAATCCTAGTGAAAAATGCATTAAGGGTACCATTTGTCGATACATTATAGTATAATGTCCACAGTCAATTTTGTTGATATTTCCTAAGTATATCTTACCTGCCATAATTCCATCTGTATAGCGCTGTCAAGCTGGAACAGTCTAGTTTCCAAATTGAGTTGTTGCGTCTCTGGTTTTGATATACTCACATTCCCAGTTTGCACCTGTTTGAGTTACATATAATATTTTTTATTAAATGGCATTGAATTATCAACTCGCAGTTGTTTGAAAAATTACAATATTTCACATACTGTAATTGTAATTTTACAATAATAAACTAAGTTTATTATTGTTTTCTCACAAAAACATAGGTTGAATAATACTTTGTTTATATTATTTATATATACAATTTTATACACACAGAACTCCGAGATCACTAATCCTAACAATAGTGAGTTGGTTTGAAATGCAGTGGAAGTGCATATTATGTAGAAAGCTATAAACATCCTGTAGCTTTCTACATATTGAAAAGTCATTATTTTTATTTAAACCTTACATATACAAGTAACATCATACAAAACAAACAAACAGACAAAATGTCTATTGCTTAATGATATTAACAACATAGATTAAAATATGAATTGTTTTTAATAATTTTTTTTTATTTCATAATTATATGACTTAAATTTTTTTTTTAATATTTTTTCACTATTTGGGTGTCGAAAAGTTAACACTGGCTCCAAGCAGCGATCTAATAATTTGTCTGACGATGTCTCGTTTAGAGGTGAGATACGTGTCGTAAAACGTGCGCGAACATAATGGCAGTTGGAGATTGTTGGCCAATATGAAAGATTGTAGAAGTTTTGGTAGTAATAGTGGTAGTCAATCTTTGAGTGTTGGCACTCACACACACACACTAATGGTAGGAGAATAAAATAATTTTGATGAAATAACCAGTGATATGGATTTTAGCAAGATAACACGTAGTTCAGTAAAATATATATATTTTTTTACAACTACTTACAGTAGGCTTGCAAATATCCTCCAAATGTTTCCTCAATTTATCACACAACTTTCTAAATTCTGTCTTACGGGAGTACTTTAGACAAAATTGAAATGCCATGCGAGCAATATCGTGGTACAGAGTCTCCACATGAGCGTTGGTACGCAACAGTTCCAAGCACTGACAGTATGACTCCCAGAGAAATTTTACCTGAAAATCAAATTGTTTTTATAAGATACTAGCTTTTTGACCGCTACTTTGTATGCGTGGATTTTGGAAGTAGGAAATGCAAAATAAATATACCACTTATAGATAACATATCGATATAAAACACGCGTCAAAGTTTAAGTTACATCTTTAGGAACATATCTATAAAAACCGCATTCAATTTGGTGGCGCCAGAACAAACAAACAGATAAAATTTCTAAAAACGATTATTTTGGCATCTACTGCTCTTATTAAGACCCTTACATGATTTTTTTTAAATATCATATATAAATACCATTTACCTGCAATTTTATTAAATTAGTAAGGTGATGTATTCACAGAAGTACAAAATATTAAACATATACAGGATAATGTAATAATGGGATTGTCATGTCTATAAATATCAAAAACATGAGCCGAAAAACATGTAAATGTAATGTAATGTAAATTGGACTTTCTTTTCTGCGCTTAGCCTCTCATTTGGGTCATTGTGTGTAAAAAAAAACATGTAATTAAATGTTAAATATATGTTAAAAACTTATGACACTAGAAAATTTCTAAATTATACATTATTTTTTTCTGGACCAATCTGTTGAAAAATAGTAACTTGCACCTATAGACTTGTATAAGACATCACAGAACATATTCTGACGCTTGTAGTACTTCAAATTAATCGCCATTACTGAATTGGTATACTTTTATTTTACAGACATTGAAAGTTTTTTGGGCTGTGGAGACTCGATTAACTGGACAAATTGTTGTATAGGAATTGAATATATGAAGAAAAGACTGTTTTAAATATTCTTAATACCAGAAAGATAACATATTCGAATCAACAAAAACCAATCAAAATCAATATTTATTAATGAGTAAGACAAATATTTTCTTACTTACAGATGTACTTACATATTTTACAAAGTTGATTGCATTTGATAATCCAGATAATACAGTGATATATTAATTTTAAATTATATTATTTGTGCAGGCATAAATTAACACAAGCTACATATGGTGATGTAGCCTGTCGCGTCTAGCCACCAGCTATGCTCTCCCTCCAAGGCCTACCACCACTGACAACCGATATGTTAGTGATGGGATTTAATTTGGAGGGACTCAGAAGCAATATAAGACTAGACATGAACAACAAAAGCCAGAAATAGTTTGGCTGAATATATTCAGAAATTATCACTAAACATTCTTCTTACATATCTGTCATACCTGTCTAAGATTGGGTTGGGCACGAACAATGGAACTCAAAATGCTCTGATTTACATAAACCTAATTTAGAAATCCCTTTTGCTTTCAGTCAATGACATTAAATAGATAGATAATTTAATTGCATAAATTATAGCATACAAATAATAACAAAGATGGATAGACATGCACAAGAAATATACATAATGATATAAAAAGGAAAATACATAAAAGTAACATAAGCATTAAAATAAGCATTTTAGTATTTTTTTTTGATGGGTGAAAATGGTATGGTAACCCCGCCTGCGCTAACGGGATACGCTGGCGGAGCACCAGTGAAGGGATGTGACCAGTAAATGAAAAATAGGTCAGTTAGCTCATCATGATGAATTCATCAGGAATTAACCATGATAGTTTTCAGGGAGAACCGCGAGGAGGTCGACCTGGTTGGGTATATTGCTAGCAATGGGATTCTCAGTCTCCATTACTAACAATCCCTTTCCCCCCAGCATTTTAGTATTGGAAAAGCATTTTAACACTGACTTTCTGTTGTTGTGGTCAAAAGTCAGCTGCTTATAATCCTATAATTCTGTTATCCTATCTATTATGAATTCTAAACAGGAAAACTTAGATATTTGTACTTGATGATTTATAAATGCTTTATTGGCCAATTTTAGTTACAAATTATATTTAGAAGAAAAATACCAAATTACAGATAGCAAAAAAAGCAACATAATATTCTTATAAAAATAATTACCCATGGTGTAAGTATTGTTCTGTCTGAACGATCTTGGGCATCTTCTCCTGACACTGCACTGAGGAGTATACTCTCAGGAGTCGCTAGGTTGTCTAAATCATCGGTATCAATGACAGCTTGAGTTGACTGCTCCCTTGCAGCTTCTGTACGTTCTTCAGCCATTCGCAAATACCCCCTATGTATAAAAATAACATATTAATGATCAACACATGATTGTGTAATTGGGGTTTGTAAGTGTGATATTTAATGACTTATTAATAATAAGAGATGTGCTACTTATTAAAAAAATCTCTTTTAATTCTATTATAAAATTTTACTCATCTTTAAGAGACATTTTGTCTAATAATATAGTTTTATTTTCACTTGTGTAATAAATTTTTAATTGAATGACTAGTACATTGTTTTCAACCAATTTTAAAAAGAAGGAGGGTCAAAATTTGGTTGTAGTTTTTTGTTTGTTATCTTATAATTCCATCATTTCTAAACTGATTTGTATTTTTTTTTTATCTAAAAGGATATACTTACTGATTAGTCCCATAGATATATTATTAAAATTAATTCAGTAATTCAGCTTTTAGATATAAATGACTGGTTTTGTCACAATTGGAGTTTGTTTTTTCATGGGACACAATTATTAATTATTTATGCAATAATTTATATAAAAAAAAATAATAGCACAATAGAACTTTTGATATCCAATAATGTAATAATAGGGTGGCAGAGAAGGCAAAATGCCATGGGTGCCAGACTAAAGGGTGGCTCCTGATTTGAGTGACGTTGAGTATCGGAAGAATCTAACATTTATTGCAAAATAAAAGTATTTAATTGATTTAAGAATTTGAGTTTTAATTCAAGAATGTTCTTGATGTGTAAATACATGAATTATACAAATATATTGAGATTGTAACAAGGTGTTTTCAAGTAAAACCAAAAATAGTTATTTTAATCATAATAGTGTTTTGAGCATTGATGATACCTTTAATAATGTGAGGAATTCAATTACATTCATAAAGATTTATTAAGTAATTTAAGGCAAGTGGATTTTTAACATTAAAAACAATATAGTTTCTTTTCTGGGCAATTATAAGAAAATTCTTTATTACAATAATACAAATATATTACTGTATGTATGTCTGTGTAAGGACCATTCGACAAAAGTATTTCCAATTATACTTTTGAGTATTATTCCTTACAAATTTGTTTATCCTTGAAGTTAAAATCAAATAATGAAAATATTAAATGATATTTGGGTACTTCAAGGGTACCTTTTAATCATACACAGAATAATATGTTTATAGAGTAAATTACTAAATAGAACAAATAACAAATCATGCCCTAAAAAAAAAAAAAATTAGAGAGGATAACAACATCTTTAAACTTAAGATTTAGTAATCAGAATTATCAATATTCTATCCCTTAATAAATATTAAGACTTAATCAAGTAGTTATATATATATAAAAAAAAAACATTAATATTATTATGTGTTCTTTTTTATTTTATGTAATATAATTAAAAAATTGGTGAGGGTGTTTTGAAGTATATTACTCTCTTAACCAGAAGAACCATTTTTAATAAAATTTGGCATATAGATGGAAAACATTTTGTATTCCTAGAAATATATAAATATAAATTAGTACCATTGATCTAAGTCCTTGGTCTGGAGTGTCCCTATATATATATATATATATATATATATATATATATATATATATATATATATAATACACATAAACATAGTGTACAGATACATTAAATTTTATATTACCTTATGACAAGCTCCAGCGACCCCACATTCACTGACTGAAACATGTTCCTGTACTGGAATAGACCTTCCTTGGCAACATGCGACTTGCGAAGGTCGACGCAAAGCTCCAAGTACTTGAACATAATCGGTTCAAGTACTGACTCAGACCAGTTGTATGCCCATTTCTTATTTCGGAAAACCTCCTGCAGGGTATCCAGAGCCCGAGCAGGTTTGTCCAGGTCCATAAACTCTGAAGGGACATGATGTAGCAATTTAAATATTTAGGTTATGTTTTTACGTAATGATTTATAGACGTTATTATATCGCAAATGATGTGTTTAATAACATAATAAAATTTATAATTATAAAAAGTTATATTTTGTTCCATGTAAACAGCTGCGATGAAGTTACTACAAGGGGAAAGGCCGACTTAGTATCAACATGCAACGTGGTAAATGATTACACATATACAAATTTGAGTACAAACCATTGGCCCGTTTAAGGGCATTTTCCGGTCTTTGACCGTATCGAGCCATGTTGTAGTTACACTTTACTTCATTAACGCGAATTTGAGTACACAAAATATGTGGAAGATTCTAATTAATCTTCCATTTATTAGTCTGTCAACGCACTGAGTACGATCAAAATGGCTACTGTAGATGTTAGTGTTGCTACATTGAAATAAAAAAAAAAATTACATATTCTTTAAAATTTTATGGTCCTCGACATCGCTAGCTAGTCCCTGAGATAGAATAAGATATTCGGCATTGCTATCTCATAAATGTCACTAAAAATATATTTTTTCATATATATCAGATAATCTTTTATCTTTGCATCAAATTACTTTCATATCGTGAAGTTTGTATCAAGGAATATTACAATTATAAAACAAGACAAAAAAATTCGGCACTCTTTTAAAAATTAAGAACAATAGATTCATAATTTTTCATCATTTCAGTCATTATCCGTACATTGCTGGACATAAGCCTCCCCCATAGACTTCCTGCATCATCACTCCATCTAGTGGGGGATCGTCCTACACTGCGTTTGCCCGTACAATAGATTAATTTAGATCATAATGATGTTATGTTTTTAGTAATGATGTGCAGTAAAATAGCTGTCAAGTCATATTGGTTAAATCAATGTCAATGTCAAAATGTCAATTAGAGAATTGTAGTTTCATAGTAAATAGTATAAGAATTGCGGAAAAATATTTAATTAAAATTGCATGACTGTGATTCAGTAACTATAATTTTGTTATGTAATTCCAGTGACGAATTATTTCCTAGTTAAACAGTTTTAACATTAATGTTTTATCACTATATAACCTTAAAATGCAAGTGATTACTGATATACATTTATATCATAATCTGCAAGCTATTTGCTCCATTTCTGATGAAGGTTTGGTCCTGCCAGACAAGGAGCTATACAGACTGCTTTCCTTAGAATCTGATATTTCTGTAATACACAATGATATTAATGAAGATCATAAAGGGAAACGGTTGAGATTCATAGCTAGTGCCTATTTCCTCAAACCATTCTTGAAAGAATGCTTGAATTCAGATGTATATCGTGCTAACGTAGTAATGCATTTGAATAGGTTAAGCGGTTACCCAGAAAATGGAGTTGTATTTTTAAAATTGATTTTGGAACCACCAGACCAAGAAATCATAGACTATGCTTGGTAAGTATTTGTTCTTTTTTTTTATTAGATAATCCTAATTGTCACAATAATTATCAGTTGGTAGTCTCATAAATATTAAATGAAATTTACCATGCAACATTGTGATACTTCTATCCTTACTAATGTGATTTAATATAAATATAAAAGAAATTTGATACATCTTGGTGGCATAGTCTGTCAAATAATTGTTATTATAGAAATGAACATAGGTTGTTTCTTATCCTGGTTATACATGCAAAGTTACTTGTAAAAAAAGTAAGATAAAACTAAATATGTAATGTTCAAATATTTGTTACTTAATCAAACTTTAATGAATGCATAAATTTAAATGCTTTTTTTAATTTTTTTTTTTGTATTTGTATATGGATAGAATAATGTTAACAGACATATTACACAGTATATTTTTATTGTAGTTGTCATAGAGGAATTCATGGGACAGCTACTTTATATCAGAATGTTAAATAAAAATATAAAAATGGATATTTTAAGATTTCTGAGAAAAAAAAAAACAGGTACTCTATAGTAACTCTGTTGATTGTGAAATAATCAGTATCAATTCATAATGGACAATGAGATAAAAAAAGATGTAGGTGAATTAAAAGCTTTCCCTTTTTTTGAAGTTATTTAAAAATTACACTATGTAAACTGATAATTAGTACTTCACATACCATACTGTTTGTAGTTAATTTGAATTTGAGATGAAATCTTATTGATATGGTAGCTACCATCATCATACCATCACATGGTCACAGTAAATTTTGTTATAATAATTTTCTATATTAATAATATTATAAATGTCATAGGAAGTTTGATGCCACTTGGTATCTTAACATCTTAATCAAATTATATGAAAACTTACAACAAAAAAGTAAAGGCATTTTCTGGTTTTAGGTGTTTAATAATAATATTTTTTTATTACATCTGTAATGTAATAGTTAACTATCATCCATTTAGTTAGTGACAATTGACTTAAACTATATTAGTAAACACAAAACAAATCTTTTTATGGCCCCTATAATAATTTGGACCCACTGTTTGCGCTTGAAGGTGAGAAGCTCTTGGTTGAAATGAAATGCTTGTCCGTGCCTCAAGTTTTATAATAAATTAAAATAAATACAAAAGTGCGTGTAGTTCTATCCGTTAACAAAATTTGAATGTTTGACCTTCTAGCGGTTAAACGGTCTATATCTATGGTTCTAATATTGCAAGTGCGAAAAATTTAACTTTTATTAAAACAACTATAATGTCTAATCTTGAACATGCCCCCGGCCTTGAAAGCTTCGGCTTTCAATTTTAAAACTTCAAAACTAGAATTAGTCATCAAGTAAGGGACATATCTTGCTGTAAGCGCGTCTCACGACACCTGACGATGTGCGAATATCGGCTACTCTAGTGATGCCGTCTTTGCCAGGGAAGATCTTCACTATTCGACCGAGATGCCATTTTAGCGGCGGTAGGTTGTCGTCCTTAATAACTACTAGCATATCAGGCTGCAGTTCAAGTGTGTTCTTCCTTCCTTTAGTCCTTATTTGAAGTTCTGACACGTATTCCTTCGCCCAACGGGACCAAAATTGCTGTCGAATCTGCTCAACTCGTTGATAACGTGTCAGTCGATGAACAGGCGTCTCAGTGAAGTCATCACTAGCAGGCGCAGTAAGTGGACGTCCCACCAGAAAATGGCCTGGACTAAGAGGCGACAAATCTTGTGGATCTGAGGACATAGGGCTTAAAGGACGGGAGTTCAGGACCGCTTCAATTTGTGTCAACACTGTACTGAACTCCTCGTAGGTTAAGTGCGCGTTTCCTACTATACGACGTAAAATATTCTTACAGGACCGAATTCCAGCTTCCCATAATCCGCCAAAATGAGGCGCATAAGGCGGTATGAATGTGAATTGAATATTCTGAGCCGTGGCATATTCTATAATCTGTGACGAACAATTAGCTAAAAAATGTTTAAAGTCATTCATCAATCCAACAAAATTTCTACCATTATCAGAAAAAATCTCACATGGTTTGCCACGCCTAGATATAAATCTCTTTAACGCTAATAAATATGCATCTGTTGATAAGTCACTGACGAGTTCTAAATGTACAGCGCGCGTTACAAAACAAATAAATAAGCACACATAGCATTTTGTCGTCCTAGCACCTTTACCCTTACGATTAAGTATGAGCATTGGTCCGGCGTAGTCCACCCCAGAACGCATAAAAGGAAAGCCCGAAGTTAAGCGTTCCTTTGGTAAATCTCCCATAAGGGGAGTAGGGGTCATACCTCTCAAGCGTTTACAAATAATGCAATCATAAACAACCTTCCTTGCTAAGTTTCTACCGCCAATTGGCCACCACGTTTCACGTAAGTTATAAAGAAGCGCCTGTGGAGCTGCGTGCAACAACTGCTTGTGTTCGTGTCTGAATAGTAGTAGGGAGAAAATATGTTTAGATGAAATTAAAATCGGATGTTTTTTATCAAAATTAAAGTCGGGAGAATTTACAATCCGACCACCAACACGAATTAGTTTATTTTTATCAATAAATAAATTTAATTTAGACAAATTATGCTTATTAACTAGAGTACTATTATTTGTGAGTAACCTATACTCATCTGGAAACGATTCTAGTTGAGACAGTCGAGCCAAAGTTATATCAGATTCCCTCAATTCATCGACAGTGAGAGTACCTGACCGTTGAGTATTTTTATTGCGCGTATTATGGATAAAACGTTGTATATATGCGACAGTTCGTCTCATGCGACTATATTGAGAAAATCTAACAAATGGAAATAATGTACGTTCGCAGTCTTGATCAGTAGCGTAGGAATGTGTCACACTGGATTTCAGCTCAGGCAATAGTTGCTGAGAGTCAAATGAATTTAACGGTACATTATTGCAACTGAAGTTAATGTGACGATGAAAAGATGGGCCTTCCCACCATAAAGTAGAAGATGAAAGGTCCTCCATCTGAACACCGCGCGAGACCAGATCAGCTGGGTTTTCCTTCCCACTGACATGACGCCATGGAAGTTCCTTCGCCAACTCATGTATTTCTGCCGTTCTATTTTGTACAAAAGTTTTTTGTAAATTAGGCGACATGTGTAACCATCCTAGTACTATGGTCGAGTCAGTCCAAAACATGATGTTATCAAAATGATGACGAAGTGAGTTAATTACTTTATCATAAAGTCGAGCCCCAAGTAAAGCTCCGCATAATTCTAGTCGCGGGATACTGACAGGTTTTAAAGGTGCAACCTTACCCTTTGAACATAACAATTTTACCGATACAAGTCCGTTATTAGTTACTGTTCGAACGTAGATGCAAGCGCCGTACGCAGTCTGCGATGCATCGGTAAAGATGTGTAGCTCTGTACATATCGCTTCGTTAGCTATAACATGACGGGGTATGCGGATGGTATTAAGCATTGATAAGCCCTTTACAAATACGGTCCATGCGCGCAACACGTCTCGCGGTACCTCATCATCCCATCCTAGTTGTAATAACCATAGTTTTTGCAATAAAACTTTGGCTATTATAATGGTCGGACTTAATAATCCCAATGGATCAAATATTTGAGAAACGTGCGATAAAATGGTTCGTTTACTAATCTTGTACGTATCAACTTTAACTTGAGTATTAAAATAAAACTCGTCTGATGCATAGTACCATCCAAGACCTAATGTCTTGCACTGAACATTTTCTCCTAATGTTAATTCCTGTGATGCGTTATTATTTGGAATTTGATGAACCAACAATTCATCACATTTAAAATTAAATATCCATTTTCTTAAGTGAAATTCTCCAGAACTTAAGACATCTGTGACCTTCTTACAGAGTACAAGCAACTCCTGCTTGTCATCTGAACCTGTAATCATATCATCTACATAAAAATCATTTAAAATTATTTGTTGGACGGCTGAGTCCTTACATTCGAGTGCCAGCTGCTTTAGACACCTAACACTAAGAAACGGTGCGGAGGCTGTCCCATACGTTACCGTATTCAGTCGGTAAATACCTAACGGTTCAGATGGGTTGTCACGCCACACAATCAACTGGAGATCGCGTTGTAATTCGTTTAAGAGACACTGCCTGTACATCTTTTCGACGTCTGCACAAGCAGTGTATCTATGTTGTCTGAAACGAAGCAGGATGTCAACTAAATCACGCTGCAAGGGAGGTCCGACTTGTTGAATGTCATTTAAAGACACTCCACTACTTGTGGCGGCACTTGCATCGAACACCACGCGAAGTTTTGTTGTGCTGCTGTGCTCACGATACACGCCGTGATGAGGTAAAAAATAGTGTGGGGTTCCATATGAAGTTACTCGCGTTATATGACCTAATTCGATGTATTCGTGTATAAATTCAATATATAACTTTTTATAGTTAGAATTACGTTCTAATCGCCTCTCTAGTGCCAAAAAACGACGTTCAGCTTGTGACAAAGATTCACCCAAAACAGATGGCGACTGTTTCAGTGGCAAGCTGACGCAAAACCTTCCGTCACTATTGCGCGTGGTAGTACGAATGAAAGCTTCCTCACAAGAGCGTTCTTCGTCAGTCTGTATGTCACTAGTTTTAGGCACCTCTTCTAACTCCCAAAACCGTCGTAACTGAGTGTCAATAGATTGAGTGAAGTTACATTGGACAGACGTATTGATATTGTGCGTGTTAAACTCAATAGGCCCTGAAATAATCCAACCTAACCTTGTATTTTGTAAAAAGGGTCCATTGGGTAATCTCATTTTACCCTCGCATAATAAGTCCCAAAATAAGTCTGCGCCTATTAAAATATCAATATTTTGAGATTCATAATATTGTGGATCAGCCAGCTGTATATAGTCAGGTATCATAAAAGACTGCGCGCGTTGACTATACATAGCAGTAGATAGCGTAGATGTAATGTGCGGCAACACAAAACATTTAATGCGTGCGGAGTAATTGTCAATGCGTGATTTGATCTCGATATCACATATCTGTGATGACGTTGTTACTGTGTTGCCGACACCTCGAATTTCGCAAGTGGACTGTATTAAGTTTATATTAATTAAATCGCATAGTGGTTTAGAAATAAAACAATGTTGACTATCACAGTCGAGAAGCGCGCGTGCTAAGTGAAACTTATTGTACCTATCGGCTATCTCGACTATAGCTGTAGACAATATAACGGGTCGCATAGTAGATTGTTTGTGAATTAAATTAGAATTATCTATGTGTGCACTGTTTACTCGAGACGAATGAATTTGCGCGGGGATGGACGGCGCGGGCGGTGCGACGGTCGCGGGGGTCATTTGACTAGAACCCGGGGTTCCAGTGTCGGATAGATGCATTGATACGACCGCTACTCGATCAGTCACGTTATTATGAATAAGCGTGTTGTGTTTTTTAAAACACAGTCTGCAAGGTCCAAATTTGCACATATTAACTGAATGCCCTGGACGTAAACAGTTCTCACATAATTTATTTGCGGTTATAAATTGCAGTTTAGCGTCTAAGTTAGTGTCCAAAAATGTTTGACATGAATAAAGTGGATGATCGGCGTTACACATTAAACACGATTTCTTAGTAGACGTGATTCGACCTTGCTGTGACTTATTGGTGGAAATATTGCAGTGCACTTTATGATGTGATGTTTTATGTGACGGATAATGTGACGATTGTTGTAAAGTCGCGTTTTGAGTTTTAACGTCACTGTTAACTCTGTGTGAAACTAGCAATGTTTCCAACATGTCAGCCTTGTCTCTGAGGAACATGAGTAAATCATCTACCTTCAGTGAAGAAATATCATTAATATATTTTCGTGTGGTGCATTTAAATTGTTCCCATTCACGTTCGGTGGTTTCATCTAACTTAGACGTTATAATAAATATAATTAACGTATCCCAGTACTCAGTAGGCTCACCTAATATTTTTAATGCGCGTAAATTTCTAAGAATAATATCTGTCAGTTTTCTGAGTGCATGTGGTGATTCCTTAGAAAGTTTTTGAATAGTGAATAAGGCCTTAACGTGGTTATGCACCAACAGACTGCTATTGTTGTATCTGTTGAGAAGTAGTTCCCATGCTACCACATAGTTACTAGCAGAGAATTCTAAGGAATCGATAACTAACTCCGCGCTTCCCTTTAGTGACGATTTTAGGTAGTGGAATTTCTGAATATCGCTAATTTCATCGGAATTGTGTACTAGAGATAGAAAAATGTCTCTGTATTCGATCCAATGCTCATACGTTCCATCATATACAGGTAGGGAGATGGTCGGAAGTTTTATAGACTGTGACGCCCTATTACTGCCCTTACTGGACGCGCTAGTGACCTCTACCGATTTGAGCAAACATTCAGCTTGAGCTAGTGCATGATAATAGCAATCTTCAAACAATTCTCGTTGCGTCAGCTGCGAATCTAAATCTGAATCTCGTACAATTTTTTCGATTTTTGTTTGAACATCGCTAAACTCTGTAAATAAGCTCGTAACACCTTGCATGCGTAATTTTACATCGGCGCATTTTTGATTAGTTAATTGTTCGAGGGTAATATCACTAACGGCATTAGAAAATTTAGTAAGCCTGCTTTTTAATATGCCACGCGTCTTGACTAGATCCTTTAGCAATTCATTATCGTTTTCATTATTAGCGACTAGCCTATTAGGGGATCTTTCACGATTTATTTTAACACTAGCCTCATTTATACTCATTTTGGCAAATTATGAAGGTACTTACGTTTGATTCTTGGTCTGTAAGATCAGCCTGTGCTAGCTGTGACACAAAGCTGCTTCTTATTGCTAAACACAAGAACTGTAACGTGGCTAAAGGCACGGTGTGACACAATTGAAGCGAAGGAGATGGGGTTAGGGAGGATGGCAGACCGTTCCGGAATGCGCTTATGGACGATTGCTGTCTGCTGCTGCTCCTCCGACGCCTTAACCTCGATCCTTACTAGATGTCTTCTCACTTCTCGTAGTCCAAAACTTGTGCGATGAATTGGCATACGATGAGTCCAATGGTCGCTGACTCGTACTTTTCGTATTATTATCCGGCTCGAAGGACCAAAACACGTATGTTTGCGCTTGAAGGTGAGAAGCTCTTGGTTGAAATGAAATGCTTGTCCGTGCCTCAAGTTTTATAATAAATTAAAATAAATACAAAAGTGCGTGTAGTTCTATCCGTTAACAAAATTTGAATGTTTGACCTTCTAGCGGTTAAACGGTCTATATCTATGGTTCTAATATTGCAAGTGCGAAAAATTTAACTTTTATTAAAACAACTATAATGTCTAATCTTGAACACCCACAATGAGAGGATCAGGATATCATACTTATTACATAATGCCCTCAGGATGCCATAATGAAGTGACAAGTAAATTTATTGAAAACAACTTTTAAAAAACAGTTATAAGTATTATAAGTAGTTATATAAATTCTAAACCAAACTACATATTTATTTATTTAAAGATACTCATATATATATATATATATACATTATTACTTTATTTTTTATTGTATAAAAGATTTTATTATATAGAAAATATGATTTTGTGGTTACAAACATATCTTGATTGACTAATTAAGTAATGTGTAAAAATTACATGCCTAAGCCTCAATATTTTATTGGCTAACATAATTAAGTCAGGGCATAGGTAAATTTCCAAAAAGTTGTGTGTAAAAAGTTTCCAAAATCAGTGTATGCTAAACTTAGCATATAAATGCTAAATTGTCATAAGTGATTTTGTTTACATGTAGATATTTTATTTCATGATACCTACATAAGCCTGTGATCATAGAGACAAGATTTGTTATAGTACAAATGCACCACATAGTGTTATATCTTTATAAAAGATGCAGTAAATTTTTAAAAATTTAATAACAAAAATGTGTAACTACTTGTTAATGTGACATGCATTGGCATATTTAAGATTATTTTCTAAGGAGGGGCCTGTCCCCTTTAAATAGGGACATGTGTACTCTTAGACATGTTTGTGCAAAGCTTCGTGATCCTGGTGTAGGCACTGGATGATTTTGGAGTGGGCATGGTCCACTTGGCCCACCCTTAAATATGCAGATGAATGGCACATCCATCATATTCACAAATGGATGATGTGTTTAGGGTCTGGTCTGCTGTCGTCACAGCAACTGATTAATTATATACTATAAATTTAAATTATATACTATATATTTTAAACTATATGATCTCATACTGCTTAGTAGTTTGTATTCACACAAATTATTTTTTTTTACTAAAGCAACAGCTCAGTTTTTTGTTATTCTTGGCTGAAATTGCATTCCAAATGGGTGGTAAATGAAAAAATGAAAATTTACTTTACTTGAATAAAAAATATTTCTTTTTTCTTTCTTTCTATGATGACGTGATTATTGGTGAACATAGGTGTAATTAACGAGGGGCAGGCAGGCCATTTTTTTTGTTTCTGGATGATCTGAAACTACCTTCACATTTACATTTTTTCATATTTAAATATTTACTAATAGAGGTATGCCAGTCACGATTTCGCTTTCTATATTGCAGTGGTTTTCACCGCGTAGAAATTTGAAGAAACCCTTATTTCCCCAATCAGTGTTCCATGAATTCGCCACAAGCCAATATTTAGCTCCATTTTCCACACCCCATCCAATAATTTTAACTGCATGAAGACCGAGAAAATCGCCGTATACATGTTTATATACACCATCTTTGTATGTTATTAGATCAGCATATACCTGGAATGAGGCCTCTACAGGGCCATTTTTATATAATTCAGCTTTTATTTGGTCTTCCCCTTCACTTATAAAATAAACATGTTTAGCATATTGCTTGTCTTTCTCATATTGTGTGTTATGGATAGCTTGGCAGCTTTTTATGCATTTAGGGGTATTAACAATGCTATCGCATTGCGGTCTAGGGCCAGGTACGTGATGTTCACAAGGTAGAATGCTATATGGTCTACATCCTTGGTTAGAATCATAATTGCCTCCAGACACAATGCCGACATTTTGATAGTAGCGCCATGCGTGTTTTGGAAGTCCCCCATGACACCCATCACCGCAATCTTTACAGCAACTTACTACGTCTTCAGCAGAAAAATGGAAATGTTGAGTACCATTTGAATGAATGCATACTCTATCCGTCATAGCTTCAACTGCTCCGAAAGCCCAGCAGCTCCCACAGGATCCTTGGTCTCTAATTTCATTTAAACTAGGACAGTTGGGCCACTTATCTCTTGGGTCGAAATTTTCAGGAAGCGACGCTCTTAGTTCGGTATCGTGAGTCATTGTATTAAATTTCTCGAAGTTCCGATTTGGCAGGACACCCATCAGTCCTTTGATATGCCGGAAAGGTATATTGCTTGGAAAATTGCGTCCAGCCCTCCATAAATTCTGTTTTTTGTTAATGAGGTCTATGAATTCGTCGGACAAGGGATGCAAATTATCAATTGCTGCTACAGTGAGACTGAAGAGGAGCATCACAAATATGCCCGTTAAAGAGGTCATAATTGGTCCTTTGCTTTGGTTTACAGGAAGAAGTAACCGAGTATCGAATGAAATAAATTACGCATTTACAATTTTAAATGTATGCAGTTATATAGTTTAAATTGTTAACAGAAATGCAAATTATTTTGTATATTCCAAGTAATTCAGACTATGTTAATATTCAGGAATTCAAATAAATAATGTGTAAAAATATTTTACTTATTGTATGATAAGTAGCATTGGCAAGTACCATTAAATGACGCTTTAATAATTTAATGTGGTTCTTTCTTTAGATATGATTTAATTATGAAGTTTCCAATTTACATCTTCGAGTTTGGAGGTTTTTTTCATTAAAAATTATCATTTTATTTATCTCCATACCATTGGTAATAATGAAGTAATAACTTCGTCTGCGAAATCGTTTTTTTTTGTGGGACACAGTTTTTTCTTTTTTAATGGATAAAAATGGATTTTTTTAATGCATAAAAAATCCCGCCTGCGCTATCACTGGCCTAAGTATCAGTCAGAGGTCAATTAGCCCATCGTGACGAATTCTTAAAGAATAAACCATGATAGCTTTAGGGGGAACAATATAGAGGTCGACCTGATAGGTATATTCCAGGGGTGGCCAACCAGTCGATTGTGATCGATTGGTCGATCGCGAAAAATACAATATTTCGGTAATCTAGCGGAAGATGTTCAGACGCAATGCTTGCACTTATATAAATAAGCATAAAATAAATAAAAAAATTAATAAAATAAAAAAATTACAATACTACATGATTGTGTACAGAACTATGTTGTTTCATTTGAGATTTCAAGAAGTATGTAATTGGTAGATCGCAGAGGGTTTCGTTAGTAAACAGTAGATCTTGCGTCTAGTCAAGTCGGTCACCCCTGGTATATTGTTAGTAATACAATACTTACCGATACAATAACAGCTAAGCTTGTGTATTTTTGTTACTTTCACGGTATCATATCCTATGGCATTATGTTATGGGGAAGGGTCGCTAACATCGATACAATCTTTGTACTGCAAAAAAAGAGCGGTTCGTTCAATATTCAATTTGCCTTCTCTAGAGTCTCTTAAAGAATATTTTAAGCAAACAGGTATACTTACTGTTCTTTCTCAACATATATACGAAAACATTATGTAAGTACGTAAAAATAAAAATATATTTAAAAAGAATAGCGACACACTTAATTTCAATACAAGAAATAAAAACAAATTGAATGTTCCTTGGTATCGGCTTGGTAACTTCCAAATGAGGTATTAAATTTTAATGAAAGAAAATTTAAGATATATTTTGACTCCAGACATTTAAATTACTGTACTTAAGCATATAAAATAACTGACTATTTAAATGACATAAATCCATGGACTTGAATATTGTATTATTGTGAAGTGTATTGTAATTGTAACTATTGTAATTATTTTTCTGTTCTATTCCACTTTTAATGACTATTAATTAATTTAAATCAATATTGTTTTATATAGTAATTATTATATATTATTATTATAATGACGTATCATAAAAGTCTGAAATAAAGATGTTTTGTTTGATTGAGTAGAGTCACTTGTACTACCACCGCGTCTATAACTGTGATAGATTTAAGTCTAATGGAATTAAGTTAAAGTTTGATCTATTATAAACAAAAGTATTTTAATATTAATAATATTATTGTAATTTTACTTTATAGATAGTTCATTAAACAATGATTATCATCATCGTATCAGCCCTTAACTATCCACTGTTCAACATATGCCTCCCTCTATCGGGGAGTTTTGCCAGTAGTTGCCACGCTTGGCAGGCGGATTGGCAACCGTAGATTGGCTTTTGATGATGTTTTAAGAGGTACACTGCTGCTCCTCTCTTGATAATTTAGTTCCTTTAGTCACCTCTTTCGACACCCACGGGAAGAAAAGGGGTGGCCCATTGGCTGGCATAGTATGATCATACTGCTAAATTATTAAATTAAAATGTTTAATGAAGGAGTTAGGTGCTTCAGGATCAGTGCCACTGTTGTATAAATGTTTCTAAAACTGTCTGCAATTCTTTACAGGAATGAACGAATGCTTAAACTGTTATGGACTCGTGTTGAAATAGAGAATGCATTTTCGTGGCTGTCCACACTCGGTGGAGCTTATTCTGCATTAGGGGACTATTTCGATCACTGCGTGAGTATAAAGTCATGAATATATTTTTTATGTACTCGGATATGGTAAATAAGCTACCAGCACACCTAATGGAAAGCAATCGGCGCCTATAATGTTCTAAGTACACTAACGGACAAAATAAATGGATTATTTGTTAATTATCGAGTTAGTTTTTTTAATGCCTGACGTCAACTCTCTTTCGAATGAAATGAGAATATATATTTTTTTATGGATGATAATGTAATAGTAACCCCGTCTGCGCTAACAGTATACGCTGGCGAGGCACCAGTGAGGTTTGATAGGTGAGAATGAAAAGGCAGGTCAGTGAGCCCACCGTGATGAATACACCTGGAATTCACCATGATGCTTTCTAAGGGTGAAAACGTGGAGGTCAACCTGACAGAGTTAATGCATGCAATGGGACTGATAGACCGCATTACTAACAATCCCTTTCCTCCACTATTGGGTTAGTAGACATGCGCAAAAAGGCGTAGACTTTATTTTTATGCCATGAAAATAGAAAGGTAACTCCTGTGATGTCGGTATACGCTGGCTATCTATAAATGAAGAAAACAAAGTTAGTATTAATATTATTAATTTTTCTTGTAGGCTGAAGAAGCGGGTAGAATATCAATAAGGCAATACAAACTATCCAAAATGCTTGGCGACGACGGCCTTGCAGCTCGGAGTCAGCTCTACTCAGCCTTATCATTCTCACAGAGAGGAAACCTTAAATTGTCACGCAGGATTGTAAGAAATGTGGCCGAATTTGGCAGAGTAACTCATGATAAACGATTAGTGAGAATGTGCCAAGGCGTTTGGGCCAAGTTGAAGTATTTGAGATCATTAAGAAATACTGTATCACAACAGGGTAAAGAGAGAAACGGTGGCAATGGGAAAGTGATAAATTGTCATTGATTTTGATAAGCAATATTAAATGTACATGAGACATGTTGTGTGTTTCCTTCTAGTTGCGAGTTTTAGTCGCCAATTATTGTTTATTTGAGATGTTTTAAATTTATTCAATCAAAGGTAGATAATCTTAATTAATCTTATAACTATCTTGACATCATCTTGACAAAGTCTAAGTTTTGTTTATAAAAAATGCTTTTATTCCAACTGTAACTTCTTACCGAGATTATAAAGATCTTTGTAAAGGTACAAAATATCTGTATGGGGAACCGTCTACAGTTTTGTATTTATATAGATATTTTAATATCCGTTTAATATGCCCGATTTCTATGTTGACTTTGGCGCATGTACACATTGATGCTTCATTGCAACGACGTGTGGTATAATATTTGCAGGCATAAATATCTAGGTCACAATCCTTAGGGTTGTGTCGTGAACATTTCTTGCAATACATAACTATAGAGACAAATTATATATTTGGTGCCATAACACTAAATCTATTTTAGCGTTTTTAAGATATTTTATTACATTGAAAAGTGATTATATAATATAATAATATTAACACTTTCCACTCCAAGCCTTTTTTTTTACTCCACCAGCTACACGCTAAAATTGCGTTTTTTCACTTTTATGTTTTATTTCGTATTTGGTAAGTAAAATTGATTTTTTCTTATATGATAAATTTTATTTTTTGAGTAATTACAGGATACTATATTATAATTCTTAATTCTAATCTTTATAATCCCTTTTGGTATGGTACAAAATCAATGTCGAGTGACACTCGACATTGGAGTGGAAAGGGTTAAAAATAAGCTGGGAGTTTTTAGATTTATTAGTGGACCCCACGAAGTGTTTTGTCTATTATTTTTTTCTTAAAACCCTTGATCGGATTGTTACGAAAATTAAACAAATTAGCGAGTTCAGTTCAGTTTCTTTTAAATCATACATATATATAGTACCAACTAACAGAGCGTTTAAGGGGCGGAGGGGATCATCTGGTTCCCGCCCCAAGATCAGGAATGGTGCTATCAGCCAAGCGTAAACACGCAGGCCCTTCTCTCGCCAGTTATAGACGGCATACATTTTATTTAGTAAATTGTATGTCAGAATAATTTTTAATTTTTTTTCAAAGACTGTTGACCATAAGAATAATTCTTGTTTTTGGTAACTTATTGAGTTTGCTTTTAATTAGTATACATGTTATCTATCTATCCAAATATTATATTAGGGAGTTACATGAATAATAATTTATTCTATGATGGAAATCATGTACCAACCTTCATCACTCTTCATTCAAGACGATTTGATTTGATTAGATGGGTGCCTAAGAACACATCTTTAGAATTAATCGCAGGTGTGCCCTTATATTTAAATTAAAACATATTTGAAGCATTTTATTTTTATTTCAATAATATTTCGATGCAGTATTTAATTTTGTAAACGATTTTCTTTTGTTGTAATTTTCATTTTGTATTATGTAAATAAAAGTTATTGATTTTTAATAATAATTTTATTTTCGTAAAATAATATTGTTGAATTTTTTTATACAACTTAGAATGGCAAACAAGCTGACGGCCCACCTGATGGAAAGTGGTAACCGTCTATAGACATGAACAGTGCCATGGACATAACAGAGTATACTGTTTCGTCCATGATACCCCCCATGCGTTGCCATTCCTGAGGACTCGGGTGTTATTCTTTTGTACTCTGTAAATTCACTGCCATATTCTAGCTTCAAACATTTAAACATTAAGAAATTAAATGTGACATGTTTGTAATGTATTTAATAATACTATTTTTATCAAGCCCAGGAAGATTGTAGCCTAAAGTCAATTGATAAATATTTTTGCATTTAGGAATCATAAATGATTAAAAGCTTGAAAATAAAATATTGTATTGTGAAATTAAAATATATTCATATAAAATGCAATAAAAAACTATATAAGAACATGGTATTACATTACATAATGTCAAAAAACAGTACAGAAATATGCAAATATAAATTGTACTGTAGTCTATTTAGTTCACGCAGGTGAACAATAGTTATGACGAATATTAAAATATAAACTAAACACTTTAAAATGATGCTTTAGTTATTTTGTGATAAAAAAATATAAAATTTATAAACTTTTATAAAACTTATGTGAATGCTGACAGAGGTTATTTGTCTTAGAGGTTATTGGGATACGGAATAGATTAGGCATGGGTGAAATTGGTATTGCTCCAATATCTATATATTGGTTTCATTGGATATTGATTTTGGAAAAAAGTTAATCACCCATGTTGATATCGCTCGTGCCGGTCGGATATGTATATTAATTTCGATTGGCTTCCTCATTTCGACTATATATTGGATAACTGATATTTAAAATATTCGTTATTGGGCCAATATACAGATATTGTAACTAAAATATATAGATATTGCCATATATTACCCACCCATAGATAAATAAATTTAAAAGGATGTTTTTTTAAATACACATAAAATACTGAAAAAGTTACTTGGAAATTATAATGAACTAGTAACACCTAAAGCGACAAACGAGTTTATCGGTAGATATATTTTCAACACTGCACAAATGAGAAATAACAACGCTGCATACACGATGCGTGTGATAGCGAAAACAAATATATTAATTAGATACATTTGGGAATCGTCTAAATTTGCTTGGGCCATTCTATTATTTTTTCGATGGCATAGTTATGAAAAAAAAAAAACTTTACTAATCAGCGTTTCTTTAATTAGATCTATCATAATAATAATAATGTATTTGGAACAAAAACATTGGTTACAATATTATTGAAAAACGATGACATCCGCAAAAGTATAAAACTGTGTCGCGAAATTAGATCTATCATAGAAGGTAATATAAGACCGTAAAGTGTAGTTTGAACTGAAATTTACTAAAAAGAACTTAATAAACTGCTACTAAAAAGTATTTTTGGGATATAACGCGAATAAATTACATCGTAAAAGTAATAGAATGGATAAAGTGTAATCGTAGAGTACTTCAACACGCTGACTGCAATATTTTATGAATATCTACAGACCTATGAACACATCGATATTTATAGATATATAATTATTTGGTAACTGAATATTGAACACAATTTATAAACATACAATGTTTGTATAATTATAAGTAATGACAAAATTGTGATTAAGACATGATTATCATTACAGGTATCAAAATAGACTGTTACACACTCGGTAAAATATAGACATGTCTTAAAATTGGCAAAACGAGTTTTAGAATATCGACCTGAAAACAATAAAGATTGTGTTTGAGAAAAATTTCGACTTCAATTGTGATAAAAGCAGTTATTTTGATTTATAAATTAAACTATTAACTGATTTTGATAACGTTTCTGTGGGGCCAATCTGTAAGTATCTATAACTTTTCAGATAAAAAAAAATACAACTAAAATGAGATTTTCTTTATTATTGAAGTCATTAAAAAAAAGGAAGTCTTACTGCGTAGTTAGGAAAACTTAGACTTCGCGTTGCACGGCTATTTATAAAAAAAAAAAAACGGGGAATTATCTTTAATATTAATTATTTAAATGATTGATGTTAATTCCCGTCGCTTATAAACGTTATAATAAGTTAAAAAAAAACTTTTTTAAGCAGTACAATAAAGTCTATACTAATATTATAAAGAGGAAGAATTTGATTGTATGTTTGCTTGTAATGGATAAACTTGAAACAATACTTAAACGATTTGATAAATTCTTTCACCTTTAGAAAGCTACATTATCAGCGAGTAAAATAGACTATATGTTACTGGGAAAAATAACCCGTGCAAAGCAAGAGTGGGCCGCTAGTAATCCAATAAAGCTCTAAGCAAAATAGTTCCCAATTGTCGTTGCCTTTTAGGTCGACATTTAATTAAAACACATTTTGCCAATATTCAGTCAGGTTCTTAACTTACTAAGTTATATTATTACATTACATTAATCATTTCTAAATTATAGATATAAGTTCAATCTTGTTTGAGAAAAAATTATTGCAATTGTATAGACAACGTAGTTTTATACATTTTTTTTTATGAATGTAATGAGCTTATTCTCTTTCGGATTACCAATTACTACTCTATATTCATAATCTAAGGTCCCTATTAGCTAAGTTCTTAGTAAAAAGGCAAGAGAGGATTTTGAAATGATATTACTTGCTTACATCACACTGGATTTATTATAAGTACCACCATTAGAAAAATAGTTTCCGTATTCGTAAAAACGTGTTTAATACGGTCTCCTGTCTCTTTCTTTCGAGTAAAATTCTTAATTTGAAAGAAAGTGACAAAAAACGCTAATTGTAAAAATTTGGTCTATTGGAGGCTCTAAGTTTTTATGAATAAAGCTGTTAGTCCCTTGTCTATTATTGAAAAAAAAAAGTATATAACGCATCGTCTATACTTATATGTTTAAGTAGGTATTTGTTATTCGTTGGAGCAGAGTGGACAAGCCAGGGTGCCCATGGGGTCCCATGCTGGCAAAACTTTCGGCTCTTGGTTGAATACTTGTAGCACTTCATCAGGCACATATTTCTTGTCTACCGCCACCTGGTGACATAAATAATAATAATATCACTGGATGTACTACAGAGCGCCATCTAGTATCAAAGTAAGCAAACGGTTGCAATTTTTTTAAAATATTTGTAATGTGGGCTAGACAACTGATAGACATCCTACGAATAATATAGATGTAAAAGTGAATTTGTTTGTTATTTCTTGGCGTAATAATAGCTCAAAAAATCTTTTTTTTTTTTATACAATTTAGAATGGCAAACAAGCTGACGGCCCACCTGATAGAAAGTGGTAACCGTCGTCTATAGACATGAGCAGTACCATGGACTTAACAGAGTATACTGTTACCTGTTACCATTTCATTATCACCAATTAAAAAGAAAAAAAACGTCAGTTTGATATTGACCATAGACAAGTCATTACCTCGAAAACAAACTCCCTGAACCACGGCTCGGTGAGCAGGAGATATCCTTTATCGTACTCCTTGTCGCTGTAAGAGTTCTCCACGCGGAACTTCAGGGGATTTCCTTTTTCCTGAAATACCAAAATATTATTTTACATAACTTAAACTCGTAAATAGGCTAACGGCTCACCTAATGGAAAGTGGTATTTTTTTTATACAACTTAGAATGGCAAACAAGCTGACGGCCCACCTGATGGAAAGTGGTAACCGTTGCCTATAGATATGAGCAGTACCATGGACATAACAGAGTATACTGTTTCGCCCATGATACCTCCCATGCGTTGCCATTCCTGAGGACTCAGGTATTATTCCTCTGTACCCAGTAAATTCACGCCATATCCCACCCTTCAAACCGAAACACAGCCATGCAAACACAGCTGCTTCACGGTTGAAACACGAATGGGACAGAGGTACTCAAGCAATCGACTTTTGTACAAAGACTCTCTCTGGTCTTCTGGTTTAGATCTCAGCCTTCAAACCGAAACATAGTCATCCTGCATGACCGAACCGAAACATGTTCGATTAGAAAGCTGCTTCACAGAGGTACCCCAGCAGACGACAGTAGACAGCAGCAGACAGTGCAGTCATTGCTAACACCAGAGAGGAACTTTATATGAAAGTAATAGCAGACCAAGAAAGTCTTTGCAAAGCAACAATATTTGCTGCCTTTTTAATACGATCACTCGTCTTTCCCAATTGTGTAAATGTAACCTAAAATAAATTTATCCTTTATTCTCGCTAAATAACATTATTAATCCATCGTCTATCATTTATATCCATTATTTTTTTTTATACAACTTATAATGGCAAACAAGCTGACGGCCCACCTGATGGAAAGTGGTAACCGTCGTCTATAGACATGAGCAGCGCCATGGACATAACAGAGTATACTGTTTCGTTATAGAGTATACATTAACCTGCTTCCTACTGTAAATTAAAGTTTATTTTGGAGTAACGTAATGTTGGTGAGGCTTTAGGATTTATCTAAGATCTGTACATTATAAGACAAATAGAAAATAGGTCACTAACGTCAGTGCCGACCGCGGTGAACACCATCGCGTGCGTCATGCACGAGTCGCCGTACATGAGCCGGTCGGCCTTCTCCAGTCCGATCTGTACGTCCGTGTTGAACACCAATCGGTAGTCGTGACTGCATAGAATGAAAGAAGTAAAGATTATTTTATTTTATTTATTTATTTACACTTTATTGCATCATTTATAAAAATAGTAAATATCCAATATACATATATGCAAATATTGAAATTAATAACATAGAAAACTGCTACATTATCTGAGATGCTTTTTAGAGATTGCCCTTTTCTGCATTTTATCTTGGGTCCAATTATAGTATATTTTTGAGGAAAATACTAAGACCAAAATCAATCTTCAATCAAAAGATTGAGCAAGATTATTAGGAAAAGAGAACAAAATTCATTCAGTAATAAATTTATTAAAACAAAAATTTTTTTCGCTTAGATTTTTTATGACTATTACTTATTGTCAAGTGCCTTTTATTATATAAAAATAAGAATATATTATAGAAAAAAAAGCCATGCCAAACTGTAAATCGTTGTATAAACTGTATAATAGGAATTGACGACAAAAAATACTGTTTAATTTACTGTTAATTGGATCTATATACCGAACTGGACGGTAGGGAAAAAAATAAAATTATATGTAAAAATTTGACGTTCATAAGCGGCTAAAATGTCCTACATGAATAAATGATTTTTGAATTTTGAATTTTAAATAAATAGCATTGAGATAATATTAATTACAAAACAAAAATAATACACTCAGAAATCAGCATTATAAATTTCTGAAACAATTCCTGTATTGTACTGTATGTACGTATACTTACGCATCAAGATCTTCGAGGCCGCTTTTCCGTTCGAATCTCTTGGAGACTTCGCATCCGAACCACACGGCTTCTCCGCCTTGAATACTGTCTTTAACTGCCCTGGAATAATACATTACATTTTTAATAACAGGCAACGAAGATACATATGTATTATGTTTTAAGCTAAGTTCTCAATTTGAACGAAAGTGACAGAACACTAATTGTTAAATAAGTGAAAGTTTTAGTTAAGTTTTATTAATAAGGTGGTAAACGTTTATTTGTTACTTCTATTTTTTTTTAATGGGTGATAATGGAATGGTAAACCCATCCGCGCTATTGGTATACACACGGGGCACCAGTGAAGGATGATAGGTGTGGATGAAGTAGGTCAGTTAGCTCATCGTGACAAATTCAACAAGAATTGTGCACGATGGTTTCCAGGGGGAACCACGTGGAGGTCGACCTATTAGGGCATATTGCTGGCAATGGGGCTATCAAATTCCATTGCCAACAATCCCTTCCCCCCTGTTACTTCTATTTGATGCCTTAATAGCTGAACTAATGTTATAAAATATGACATATATGAATTATTTGTCATGAAGATATATGTAGGCCACTTGTTATCCTGGTCATTCCCTGTATAGATATCAGTCACGCGGATAAAGTCGATGGTAACAACCAGTAATATGATAAATGTGAGTTTGTTTGTTATCTTTTATCACCTTAATTGCTTAATCAATCATTAGAAAATAAATTAAATATAGAAGGACATAGACTTTTACTTTCAGACAAAGTAGCAGGCATAGCTAGTAAATATTTATTTAAATACAATGACAAACAAGCTGATGGCCAACCTAAAGGAAAATTATAATTGTCGCCTATAGACATGACTAGTACCACAGATTGTGTGTTGCCATTTTGAGGACAATGATGTTATGCTTCTTTATCCTGTAATAATTGAATAAAGCAGTAAATGTGTGACTAACTTCATGAGTGTTTCTATGGGCTGGTTATTGTACGCAGTCTGCCGCCCCCCGACTACGTTGCCCAGACATTGCAACGTGTACAGTTGACCGAACGGGTTCGATTGGCGCGGATCGCTGACTAGGCACACCTGTGTATGATAATAACACATTATTCTTGGTCGAGTAATATTAGAAAATGGAATCAAACAGAAATTTTGTTAATTGTTAATTTTAAACTTTGGCGTAAACAACGCCAAAGTTTAAAATTATACATATTATACATATTATTATATATACATATTTTAAATACACTATTATATAAAAATATATATGTAGGGAAATTTTATAGTAGATTGACATCTATAGCTTAAGGCACAGATAATATAATACTATGCTTTAGGTATCTTACAAGACAACTATTAATTACATAGTGTAAATTTCAAATTTAACATACAAAAATGGTTGCATAGATTTCATACTAACGTTTTTTTGTTTGAAGTGACACAGGTGTCTGTATCACCCTTTGTCAATTACATATTTTTTCATTTCTTATTTTAAAGATGAATATAATCTATATATAGAATTATAGAAATATTAAAAAAAATCTTAGGAGCTTTTACCTTGTTTAGGAATATTAATCCTATTGTACCTTGGACCGATTGTTTCTATATAACTTACAATGGTAAACAGGCTGACGGCCCATCTTATGGAAAGTGGTAACTATCGTCTATGGACATGAAAAGCACCGCGAACATAAAAAATGCACTGTGATCATCATGGAATTCCTCGTGCATTGCCATTCATGAGGATTATTTATTTATGTACTCAAAGGAAGATTAACAGACAAATATCACTTTATAGGTAAATATATATTCCTAATCTATTTAGAAATTGTTAAATACGTTACACTTATTAATTATGGTGTCATACCTTAATAGGTGGAGGGGGGGGGGGGGAGGAAGGGATTGTTAGTAATAGGTCCTAATTGACTCATTGCTAGCAATACACCTTATCAGGTCGACCTCCATGCGGTTCCCCATGGAAACCGTTGTGGTTAATTCTAGTGGAATTTATCACGATGGGCTAACTGACCTGCCTTTTCATCCTCACCCGTCATACCTCACTGGTGCCCCGCCAGCGTATCCTAATAGCGCAGGTGGGGTTACCATTCCATTTATTCATTAAAAAAATAGGTGGAGTAGTGTACCTGGTGTGAATTTACAGGGTACAGAAGAATAACACCTGAGTCATCAAGAATGGCAACGCATGGGGGGTATCATGGGCGAAACAGTATGTATGTGTACTGTTATGTCCATGGTACTGCTCATGTTTATAGGTGAGGGTTACTACTTTTCATCAGATGGGCCGTCAGCTTTTTTGCCATTCTAAGTCGCATAAAAAAATAAAAAAAAAAACAAACCTTGTCATCGACGTTGAACAACGGCCGCACGTGTTTATTGTAGAACTCGAGCGGCGTGAGAGGGCCCAAGTTATTGTATGCTTTCTCCTTGTTGTAGAACTCAAATGTGAACTTCTCTGGCGGCGTACCTGTTATTTATTTATAGCAAAAAAAAAAAAAAACAAAAATATACAATGACAATTAGAAAATTCAAGAAGTGAAGTATAGTATGTTTCTCTTCTCATTTAATAGTTTCCTCTTGTTGGTGTAATTAATTCATGCATCTTCTATCAGAGGGAGACTTTGTACAAAAGTCGAATGCTTGGGTACCTCTATATATATATGCGTGTAAGTATATGTATATATGTATATATGTATATATATATATATATGCAAATACTCATTGCAATGCAATGCCACTCTATATATATATATCTATATATATATATAAAATAATGTGTACTTACATACATATACATAGGTACACATAATTTTGTAATTAATTATTATATTTTTGTGTACATATTACTAATCTTTGTAATATAAGATAATAAAGACAATAAAGAGTTTTCATTCCTTCATATATAGGTTCAATTTACCTAAACATGTGGCCACGATGTTGTAGATGACCGCGATCTGTTTGCTTATCGTGTTCTGGATCTCGTCGTTGGACGCGTTCGCTTCCACCTTGTCGCGCAACTCTTTGGCGTATTCACGGAGCTACAAATAAATTAGAGTTTCATTACTGAATAATAACTATCGTGAGTTATACTGTATTGTAATTATTTATGCCGGAGTTGAAGCTGCAGTAAAGGGGACCCTTTCATCCAACTTACCACTACTACACAACTACCCCTGAGTCTCTAGAATTATGCCTCGCTAAAAAGTGAGGCGTGGGCTTCTTGTGAGTTGTTGGACTTCTCTTCTTGCTTCAGAAACAAAAGATTTTTTTTTATATTAATAGAAACATAATGTCCGTGTGGTCCCGGCATAGAATAGGCCATCCCTTCCTTTCCCGTGGATGTCATAAGAGGCGACTAAGGGAGGGCGAGGGATGAGCAGCAGTGTGCCTCTTAAAACATATCCATCGCTTAATTGTGATTGCCAATTCGCCTGCCAAGCGTGGCAACTGGCAAAACCACCCTCCCCGCCTTATGTTCAGCAGTAGACAGAAGGGCTGATGTCGACATTAGTCGCGTTTAAGATTTGGGAATGACTAGTTTTGAACTTAATAGGAGCCCTTATTCATGAGCACGGTTCACGGTTCACGGTGATACAACCGTGAACCGTGCTCATGAAATTTTACTCGTGACAAAGTATTATATTTTACTCGCGTCACAGCCGCTCACGATTAAAGGTCCCGAATGATCTCGAAACTAATCGTGCTTTCTCGATCTGATTACACATAAATAAACTAGTAGTTATTACATTAAAATATATTGAATCGATTTTCATAAAATTTCAGATAAAAAAATTCCTAAATCGGTTTGTAAATGTAGGAGTTAATTGAGGTAACAAACAAAAGAAAAAATACAACCCATTTTTTTGAGAACCTACTCCTCTGAAGTCGGTTAAAATACATTTCAATATAGACAAAATTAGTATGAAACCAACACGGTTCCACAAAACAATTGTTTGTTCGTTTATAATGGATAACCCGAAAAACTACTCAACCGTTTTTTTTAATTATTTACCCATAGAAAGATACATTAATAACAAGTAAAATGGGTAAAGAATACATATATTATTTACGAAAATCTATCTATCTACCCGTGTGAAGCCGGGTCGAATCGTTAGTCTATAGATATAACCTTGGTTTTGATGAGCGCGTTCATGTGTAGACTCTTCCTCGAGCTGAACGACTCCGGGAAACACTTCTTCGGTATCACACCGTACTTGTTCACGAGGTTCACGATCATGTCCCATTGTCCCCCGTCGTTTATGGGGTCCTAGTAGTTAAACATAATATGTATAAAAAGATTTATTCATTGAACAAAAACAAATGCAATTTCTAAAAATATAATAAAAAAAAAATTAAAAATATATTATTATATAAAAAAATATTTGCCTGAATATGGCTCGTTTAGAGCTGCGACACATATCGCAAAATATGCGTGGACGGAATAACAGTCGGCCAAAGTATTACCAGTGTTGGCCAAAGTAATTGGATCGTTGGGGTCCAAGAGCATATGCCTCGGGCGATGACGTCGGGAGGTAACATTCTCCCAGAGGGATGACCGTTTTTACGATAAATTCTTCATTTTTGGTCGTTCGAAGTTTGTATTTATACCCTTTTAGTAAGGGTGAAGGGAGAGTGGCATTGCATTGCAATGAGTATTTGCATATATATATATATATATATATATATATATATATATATATATATATATATATATATATATATATATTATACTACAGATTGTCACGTCATCGGACTACATACCTTAATCACTTTATATATATTTTTTATATTATAACATAGAGAGAATATAAGTAAATAGTTACGATGGAAATGTATATTGTGTAAGCAAACAAACACAACCGCAATATACTGATAACGTTATCAATTACAGAATATAGTTTGCGGTCGTTACATTGCATAGAATGTATCTGTGGGAGAATGTTAAATGAAATAGATAATTTATCTATTACCTATTTTTTTTTTTGGGAATTTTACAGGGAGGTCAAAGATATGGCTTGTGATAGAGCTGGTTGGAAGAAAATACAATAAAGTGTAAATCCATCAACGGTCAAGTGTTTTAGCCTTTTCCTTGTAATATGTATTTTTTTTATTTACTAGGAATTTTTACTATAATGTCAGGTGGATTTATTGCTTTATTTTTTCTCTTGCACAATCATACCGATCGCCTGGATCTCAACCTTAAACACTTTGGTTTATGAGAAACCAAGCAATGACCATCTTGGGGTACAGCTTAAAACATCCAGACTATAGCCAATTCAGAAAACTACCTTTTCTAAATTGACCCGAAAGGAAATCGAATCCGTGGCCTTACTATACAAAAGCAGTGTGCCTAACCGCTGCCCCACGAAACTCGTTTTGCTTATATACGAAATCATAACAATGGCGAAGTCACGGGTAAAAATTAGAAATAAAATCACCTTGAGTAGAAAGTTGACTAATCTCCCTTCCAGCTTCTCGCCCTGTCTCGCCGTGCTTACAATGTTGTTGAGCCAATAGTGGGAGCGTTCTATCTTGTCCCAGAAGAAGAGATAGCTGAAAACAAGAGTTACTGAATTTTTGTCATCTATATTAATATAATATCTAATATATAAAATTCTCGTGTCGCGGTGTTTGTTACCAAACTCATCCGAAACGGCTTTACCGATTTTTATGAAATTTTGTGTGCATATTGGATAGGTCTGAGAATCGGCCAACATCTATTTTTCATACCCTTCAATGATAAGGGTGACCACCCCAAAAATTTTTTTTTTATTTTTTTAACAAATTTTTCCATTTTTATTTTATTATGATTTAGCATTGAAAAATACACACAACTTTAAATTTTCATCGTTTTACGATCAACCCCTGTCTTTTAATCACGATTTTTATATTTCGCAATAAGTGGTAAAACAACGTTTACGGGGTCAGCTAGTCTTATATATAAAATTCTCATGTCACGGTGTTTGTTACCAAACTCCTCCGAAACGACTTTATCGATTTTTATGAAATTTTGTGTGCATATGGGATAGGTCTGAGAATCGGCCAACATCTATTTTTCATACCCCTCAATGATAAGGGTGACTCTCCCCAAAAAAAACTTTTTTTATTTTTTGACATATTTTTCCATTTTTATTTTACTATGATTTAGCATTGAAAAATACATACAACTTCAAATTTTCACGAATTTACAATCAACTCCTGTTTTTTAATCGCGATTTTATATTCCGCAATAGGGTTGCAAGATGGTGATCGAATATAATAATTGTAGTACGATAAATTTTCATGTATAGTTCTAGAAATAATGTATATGGTAAAACAACGTTTGCCGAGTCAGCTAGTTATAATATATAAATATTAATATTATAAAGGGAAAGATTTGATTTTTTGTATGTTTTTTTTTTTTTTTTTTTTTTTTTTTTTTTTATTCAAATAAACTTACATTGAAGCACTTTTGAAAAGTCATTACATTTTTTTTAATTTACCGCTCGTTCGGAAAGCTGTCTCATCACAAGAAGAACGAGCAAGAAACTTGCGTGATGCTCTTTTAAATAATTTTATTATTATTTTACATTTTTAAGTTTAATTGTGTGAATACAAACCACCAATTAGCACTAATTCAATTAAATACTCAAAAAGAAAAAAAAATTGAATACATAACCAACTGGTTAAACAATTAATAAGAGGAAATCAGTCATAGTGATTAGAGCAGACCAGTCCCTACAAGCAGCACCCGTTCACGAGTATGACGGATGAGCCAGCCATCACTGCGCTCGACCATATTTTAGGGAGCCCAATGACCCGGCCCACCACGCCGCCACAAGTCTGGACATTTTAGTGAGCATGACTACTCAAAACACTAGACCACGTCAAAGCTACTCACAATTGCCATCTGATAGTTATAGTATTCACATTTTACATAAGAATGCATGCGGCAATTAATACAAAAAACCGCTACGCTTTCATATTTCTAAAATTAATCAATTAAATCAAGAAAGCAATGAGAAAATAAAATTATAACGTTGTATGCTAATAAACTAATTATTTACTTGATATGTTGTCATCTATGAATTCGTCTATCCTGTAATAGGCTTTCTTACATAAAAATTGTTTAATATAAGATTTGAATTGCCTCTCTGTCAGATTTAATGCAGATTCCGGCAGTTTATTATAAAATCTTATGCAATTACCATAGAATGAATTACTGATTTTGTGCAGACGGCATTTAGGTAAAATAAGCTTATTTATATTGCGTAAGTTTCTACTTGTACAGTCTTTGAGTTTTTAAAACTCGCTAAGTTCTTCCGTGTATACATAATATTTTCATAAATGTATTGTGAAGTAACTGTGAGGATATTTGAGTCTTTAAAGCACTGACGTAATGACTCTCTCGAACCCATACCATAAATAGAACGTATGGCTCTCTTTTGTAAAACAAATATAGTATTTATATCGGCTGCTTTACCCCACAGCAGTATGCCATAAGACATTATGCTATGGAAATAACTAAAATATACAAGTTTAGCCGTCGCCACGTCTGTTAATTGCCTAATTCTTCTAATTGCATATGCAGCAGAACTGAGTCTACTGGCCAATTTTGAAATATGGGGCCCCCATTGTAATTTCGAGTCCACTGTTATACCTAAAAAAACTGTATCATTAACAAAATTTACTATTTCGTCATTAAGCAATAACTGTGTATTTATTAGTCTTACATTAGGAAGTGTAAATTTTATACACTTTGTTTTGCTGGAATTTAATAATAGGTTATTACATGTAAACCAATTTAATATTGCAGACATAGCACAATTTACATCGTCTAATTGATTACTTTGACGTCCAATTTTAAACACTAAAGAAGTATCATCCGCAAACAGCACTATATCTGCAATTTTCTCTACCATAAAGGGAAGGTCATTTATGTAGATTAAAAAGAGAAAGGGGCCTAAGATTGACCCTTGTGGAACGCCCATCTTAATATTAGCTCCCTTAGATTTTACACCGTCAATATCTACAGTTTGAACCCTATCCTCTAAATAAGTTCTCATTAATTTTAGATCATTATCTCTTATACCATAATGTTCGAGCTTGTACAAAAGCGTTTTATGATCCACACAATCAAATGCCTTTGATAGGTCACAAAAAACTCCGAGTGCATCCTGTGACCTCTCCCAAGATTCGAAAATATGTGTCATTAGCGCAACACCTGCGTCAGTGGTAGACTTGCCGGCGGTGAAACCATATTGCTGACTGTGAAGCAGTCCGTTAACCCTGAAGTGATGTAACATTTGATTTAACATTATCTTTTCAAACACCTTACTTAGAACTGGCAAAATAGATATAGGTCTATAGTTCCCTGGCTCAAATTTATCTCCTGATTTAAATAGTGGGATTAATTTGCTAAATTTCATTAAATGTGGAAAAACGCCATTATCAATACATTTATTAAAAATAGTGGCTAGATATGGAGCAACAATATCTATGAAAGAACTAACTACTTTTACAGACATGCCCCAAAGGTCTTCCGTATTTTTTAAATTTAGCTGTTTGAATATTTTTATGATATGAAAGGGGCTAACATGTGAAAATTTAAATCTTAAAGAACAACAACCGATATTAGTCTCTAGTAATTTTTTTGCTCGAGATTGAGATGAGTCCAGAGAAGATGTAATATCAATCGGAATATTAGCAAAAAAATCTTCAAAAATATTAACTACATCTTTTGTTGTTGTTATTAATTTATTATCATAATTTAATGTAAATTGATTACAGGCTATTTTAGATCTTCCAGTTTCTTTATTTATAATGCTCCAGATGGTTTTAATTTTGTCAGAAGACTGCTTAATTTGTTTATTAAAATAATTAGACTTAGCCATAATACAAACTTTTTTAAAAATTTTAGAATAATTTTTTACATAAGTGGTGAATTTGTCATCAAATCGATATTTTTTTTGATCGTATAAATCAAACAAAATATTTCTACTTTTAAGTATTCCTACTGTTGCCCATTCCGTGAATTTAGATTTAACATGAACTTCTTTTTTCTTGAAAAATTGTTCATATTCTCCGGATAAAATATTAATTAGCTTGGTGTAAAGATAATCAGGATTATTACTAGATTGTAACAGCAAATCCAATTTATTTTTAATCGCGCTTTTGTATTTATTAATATTGTAAACGTTTATTTGTCTTTTTGATTTTTTATTATTGTTGACTTTATTGATTTGACTGCTAAACTTAACAACTTGACCACAGTGATCTGAAGGAAGTTTATTTATTATGAATTTTTCTGTATACTCGCAGTTATAAAAAACATTGTCAAGACAAGTAGCAGACGTGGCAGTTACACGAGTGGGTTCATGAAAGACATGACATAAATCAAATGACTGAAATAAACTAATAATTTTTGTACATGTGGGTGTGTTACAAAGAATATCAACGTTAAAATCTCCACATACAATAATTTTTTTAATACTATTAAATACTTTTTTTAAAATATCCTCCATCACCCCTTCAAAAACATTGTAATCACTATTAGGAGGCCTGTACACACATATAAGGATATAATTTTCTAGTTCTATACAAGATAATTCTATACAACACTCAATAGAAAGTCTAACAATGTCAGCACGTTCCTTTACTTTAATATTATTTCTTGCAATTATCATAGACCCGCCTCTGTTAACTGACCTTCTATTGAAGCAGCTGACAACGTTATAATTATTTAAATTGAACATCATATTGCTTTCTTTAAGCCAATGTTCTGTGAAACAGACAATATCAATATTATACTTTTCTAAAAATAATTGTATAATTAACTCGCTGCCGGGAAAACTTTGTATGTTCTGATGAACAATTATTAATTCTGATTGCTTTCCCTTTGTCTTTGTGAGCAGTTTAAATCTGCAGTCATAGTACTTATGTCACAAATATTAATAGAATTATCTGTTATGTCAGCATTTTTATGTTTAAGTTTACCATGTAAACTGTTCATGTAGTCAATATTATAAGCCACTAAAGTGGCTATTTTATTTTTAGATGATTTAGAAAGATACATTGTATCTTTTGTCAAATAAAAATCACTAATAAAACTATTAGTATCAAAAAATGTCAAAATGTCACTATGACGACATGTCAATGTATGTAATAAGTTATTCAGGTAATGTACCTTACTGTTAATTTTTTTATGAAGATGTCTATTTGTGTAAGGAAAAGCGCACAATACAATCTTATACACATTTAATTGTAATAAATATTCAATTCCTTTAATTACATCCTGCCTATTTAATTGAATACTATTACCAAAAAATAACACAATTGTGGTCATATTGTTCATTTTCGTAGACTTAATTTTATTTATTATTTGTGTAAATGATGCTTCTGGCATGCAGTAGTTTAATAAATCACCCTTAAGATGATACTTCAATATAGACCCAAAGTTACAGCCTATTCTGTCAGAGAACACCATTGTGCTACTCTTAGGGTTACAGTCACTGGCACAAACACCCTGAACTTCATTTTCCAGCACAGTTACAACTGAATTATTATTTGATATATTTGTGTGATTACATGTACAATGCTTAGTCAACGACTCAAAACGGTCAGCATTGTATTTACTGACATCAATCAGATCATCCATTGCTAAAATATGCTCCTGGATTTGTTTCTGAGAGATAATATACTTTGTATTTAAATCATGAAGCGAAGATTCTAAACTATTGATTTTTGAAGTTAGGTAGTCTGTATCAATGTCATATAACTTTTGGCTTTCCACTAACTTATTATTACACTTATTAATGTAATCATGCAATTTTAAATTATTCAAAGTGGTTTTTTTCAATAATTGTCCCTTTTTGCAACGCTTATTTAATATATTCCGATTCTTAATTATAAACTTTTTTAGTTTTAAATATTTTTTAAATTTATTATTACTCAACATACAAATATTACTGTTATAGTTGCCTAATTTAGGTGATGTATCACTAGTAAGGTCAATTACAACAGGATGGGTGCATGGAACTGTAGTAGAAGGAGGCACACAGTCAACACTAATAAGTTCCTCATATAAATTACTAATCTCATTACTTTGTCGAGATTCCAATCTTGTGTCTAGATCATTGATTTTAGAATATGCCTGCTTTAACTCAAGTTCCAATTCAGTGATACGCCTCAAGGCTTGCTCATGAGTGTCACTACATTGATGAAAGCTACTTATTAGTTCTTGAAGCTGATCCCGCTGCTCAATAACTTCCTGATGGCTATTATGAAGTTCTGACAATTCTGATTTTAATTGGGTATTTTTATTTATAATTTTTAAAATTTCATCTTCACTCTCTTCTCTCTCCCTGATCAACTTGTCACTGAGATCTTTGGATGCCTGAAGTTCTTGTAGGGCCACTTTAAGCTTCATCTCTGTCTGCCGTGCAGTTGTGGAACGGGTAGATAGTGACATTATTGAATATATGAATAGTTACTAGGGAGAGTGAAGTGAGTTATTTCTAAAAAAAGTATCACAACGAGAACAGCAACTGAACCTTACTTATTTTATGTGTTAAAATTTTGAATAATTTTTGTTAGGTATATTTATACGATCTATATTTTACAAGATTAAGTAATTTTGTGGATAAACTCCATACAGGAACCTAATATCCAGATATCGAGGGGAACGGATTGTTAATAATGGGAAGGTTAGTTCCCATTGCTATGAATATACCGTATCAGGTCAACCTCCACGCAGTTTTCCGTGGAAACTATATGACTAATTTTTCTTTAAATTCGTTACGATAGGCTAACTGTCCTGCTTTTTCATTCTCACCAATCATTCCTCACTGGTGCCTCGCCAGTGTATACTATTAGCGGGCGGAGATACTATTCCATTGTCACCCATTAAAATATAGATAGATATGGGATCGGTGACCATATTACCTATGCCTATCCGCCCTGAGGTGGGAAAAAATAGTATTTAACTTTTATTTTTAAACTATTTAGAATGGCAAACAAGCTGACGGCTCACTTGATGGAAAGTGGTAACCGTCGCCTATAGACATGAGCAGTACCATGGACATAACAGAGTATACTGTTTCGCCCATGATACCCCCATGCGTTGCCATTCCTGAGGAATCAGGTGCTGTTCCTCTATACCCTGTAAATTCACGTCATATCCCACCCTTCAAACCGAAACACAGCCATGCAAACACAACTGCTTCACGGTTAAAACACGAATGGGACAGAAGTACCCAAGCAATCGACTTTTGTACAAAGTACAAATAATATATCTATACAAACATTCTCATAATGAAGAACGATAATACAATCGTGCTGATAACAAAGTAAACACTTATGAACGTTTATTGGCGCAGTAAAAACTATTTATTTGTTTTGTTAACGACCGTTTGACATTCGCAGCAACATTGTCTCACCTTTGTGAAAATTCAAACTCTTCAATGCCGTACTTCTTCATGAACGGTAGACGCATAACATTAAGCGCGGCGAAGAGCCAGCACCGACCTGAGTTTTCTTGGTTTGTTACCGGCTTGCCTTCAGACTCCACCTGTTAATTTATATATTTTATTTTGATAGGGTCTTATACAGATAATGATTCATTCTCACATGCTAGGACTTAAATTAATTTACCAGAAATTAAATAATGAATTTATTTATTCATTAGTACAAATATGTGTACATGGCGGACTTAATGCTAAAAGAAGGGGGGAAAGGGATTGTTAGTAATGGAGACTGAGAATCCTATTGCTAGCAATATATCCAACCAGGCCGACCTCCTCGCGGTTCTCCCTGGAAACTATCTGTTGTAATGTGTTTCCGAACATAATGTTTTACTCTGTTCTGTGTTAACTAATCTATGATGAGAATAAAAATGTCGAGTAAGAATTTAAAAGCATTATTATTAAAACTATTAGTCCTATATTAATAAAGCATCTATCTACATACAACACTATCATGGTTAATTCCTGATGAATTTATCATGATGGGCTATCTGGCCTGTTTTCATTGGTGCTCCGCCAGCGTATACCGTTAGCGTAGGCGGGGTTACCATACCATTTTCACCCATAAAAAAAATGCTAAAAGAATTCTCTCCCAGTCAACCATAGGGAAGTGTCACTATAACGAATACTCGAATGCGATACTAGTAATTATTGATATACATACATACTAAAATTACATATATAAACGAATAAATATATATAAATAACAAATATACTTACACATATATAACATACATTATATTATACACGAAATTGAGAATAATATAAAGTACTGCTCGGATAAAGTAAAAAGTGAGTGTGAATGTTTTTTTTTAAAGACGGTTTATTCGGTAGTCTCTTAATGGCATCAGGAAGCGCATTCCAGAGTCGTGAAGAATGTAGGAGATTAACCATGATAGTTTCTAGATGGAATCGAGGGGAGGTCGGCCTCATAGGGTATGTCAATCGTAATGGAACCCTTCGACCCCATTACTATATACAATCCCCTGTCCTCTAGTTTGATAGGTTCCTGACTATTACATTTGTATTACTGGTAAAATGATATCTGAGAATTCTATGATACAGTATTTTATAGTATATAAGTTAAGTATTTTCCAAGAGACTACAGCATGGGGTTCTTCAAAAGGGGGATAAAGAGGTTTCTTCAGGGTCGGCAACACACGCGTAATACCTCTGGTATTGCGGGTGTTCATAGGCTACGGTAACCACTTACCATCCGGTGGGCCGTATGCTTGTTTGCCACCTCAGTGGTATAAAAAACTTGAACATAATGCTACGTAGTATATGTATAATATCTCATTTCAGTGATATACTTGATTGAAATAAAAAAAAATAAAAATTGTATTGTTATACAATTTATTATTGCAACAAACATATCTCCAGCAATCCATTACTCTTTAGACTCTATAAAATTTATATTTTATTTTTTTTTTAATAAAAAAAGTTACCTTAATATTATAGTAGTGGAGGGAGCTGTCCACTCTCTTCCTGTTGATTGCCACTTCGAATGGGTCGAACCGTGTGCACACATTTTGTGCCAACTCATTCTTGGGATCAGCATAGAAATCACTCCGTAGCTTGTTCAGAGTTTCTAAACTCAAAGGCTCTACAAATAGAATTAAAAAAAAAAAAACAAGATAAATATATTCTGAACACATATTCACTTAATTTTTTTTTTATGTAACATAAAATGGCATACAAGTCGATGACCCATTTAATAAAAAGTACTAACTGTCGCCTATACACATGAGCAGCACCATAAATATAACAGAATACTCTGTAATGTTCATGGTACATTTTCATGTTAGATCCTTACAGGGTAGACTATGCAGAGACAAACCATTGCCAAAGGTTTTAATCTTAAGAGATATTTTTTGTGTCATCCACTTGTATCCATAATCAGTCTGCTCTTCTGGCCATGGGTATTTTTCACGAGAGTAGTAGTAGTAGAGAGCAGTAGATATTAGTACTATTACTGAAGTAATAGTACTAACATCTACTGCAGTACTACTAGTAAGTAATAGTACACAGCAGCAATTTGGCAAATTATTTTGTTAAAGTATGTATTGATAATTAATAGATCAAAATGACCTTTATTAATAAATATATACCAATGAGAGGTATTATGGGTATAATGTTATGTTCATGTCCATAGGAGATAGGTACCACTTTTGTGAGTCGTCAGCTTGCCTGTCTTTCTAAGTATCATAATAATTAAAGGAAAATATTAAAAAAAAAAGCTTGAATTATTTATCTAGTATGTATTCTATTGATATTGTTTTTTCTTCACCTTTCTCACCTGAAAACTAAGTTTTTCTTTAGATTAATCAGATATTACACAGACAATGAATTGTTCCTTTAAACACCACAATTATTTGTTGGTGTAAAGAAGTGGTTACACATATTCCTACTTCACCAGTACATTTCATACATACTTATACTTGCATAATTTCTATTTAATTTTAAAAATAATTAGCAATAAATTACAAAAAAGAGACTATATTAAATACCAACCGGCCATAAAGATCTTAGATTGATCTCCATTACTAAAATCCAGCTTTAATATATTTGAATGTATTTATTGAAAAAAAAAATTAAGTATCGATTTTTGCTTTAAAAATAAAACTCACTTTTGTGACAAGCCACCATAAATGAACAATATCTTATAAGATTAAATAATATAACTTTATTAATAGTATAATTATTTATTTTATTCATTTCATAGTGGATATCAAGGATTTAAATTTCTATAAGAAATACTGAAAATTTACAAATATTGAAAATAGGTAATGTGGCATTGGAAGTGGTTTGTTTTTTAATTTTTCGAAACAGTAAGCAACCAGTAACCGTTGTAGTAAAAAAAAAATCAATACCAAGTCACTGACCTTATTAGTCTTAAAATTTTAAAATGGACTTGTATTGTTTTGAGTGACTAAGCACATTTCATTATTTTCTAGACTTCTATTATTTGTCCTTGTCCCAATACATTTTAGCAGTTTATTTTCAATTCTTTTATTAAATAAAAGTACAAACTCTTTTTAGAAATAAGGTTATATTTCAATTACAATTAAAACAAGTAGAACTAAATATTCTTACTTGATGACATGGCTGCAGAAGGTATTTCCAACAAATAAAGCGTCCGACTCGATTTAAACACTACTGAATATATTAATTTTATGAACATTTATTGTGAATTTATAAATAAAAATGACAGCTGCTGCTGTCGGCGTTGAAGGAGGCAAGGATATATGTTTGTCCCTTTTCGACTCATTCATAGTTTTAATTACAATAGACAAAGTTCAACTCCGGTCATTGCCTTTTAAAAGGACCAGCTGATTGATATATATGTTGAATATATTACGTGTAATTAATAAAAGTAACTTATTTTGTAATTTATAATTATTACGGTAACAAACTAATGAAAAAATATAACTATTTGTTTATAATATGAAAATAATATGGTTTCGAAACAAAATATTGTTAAGGCATTATTGCGTATTGGTAACACTGGACAATTGGCGCCAATTTCAAAGTAGAAATCGGAAGATTTATTTTTCATTTAAAAATCTAAGTTAATAATTAGATGTGTGTGTGATATTTTATTTTAAAATACGATAATATTTAACAAAATTGCAATTACAATTCTCTGCGAATTCCTTGAAGCTAATAAAAACTCTATTTGTTATTTCTCACAAAATCAATACTTTCAACAAATAAACCTTCCGTTTTCATACTCTGTTCATTTGGAAGGAAGGAAACAGATCTCTATTGTTTAGTTTAATCTTGTATTATATAATATATATAGATGTCTTAAAAATAGAGCTCTGGACATTAATGTAGACTTTGTAAAGCTTTTAAAGCAGTGAAAAAAACGAGAAATATAAAAATTATGTCGTTGAAAGCTTATGAAGATGCCTGCACTAGAGCTGAGTTGTTTGGTCAACCAGTACCAGACAAGGAAGAGTTTTTGGAGAAACATAAACATTTAGATGTGGTTGAATTTGAAGAAGTGGAAATTAAGACAGCCGAGGTAAACTGAACAGAATAGGTTTTTAAAGAAAAGATCAATGGTATTATGAAGTGGTTCTAAGTTAAGAGCTCATAATGTTCTGATAGTGTTACGTTGGTTGTATTAATTTTAGGGCGAAGTCTTACTCAATAGGATAGTTGTAAATTTTATGTAAAAAGGCAAATATAAGATAGATATGAATTTATTATCTTAATTTGGAAAATATTCTAAGAAACATTTTATATTCCAAAATAAGTTCAACGTCAATGCTTAGATTAATGATTGGACATCATTATAGAACTGATGTTATTAAAATTACTTTGCTAAAAAAAAAATTTTTTATGTCCTCCCTTGCCGGTCACTTTAGCAGCTATCATTAGACCCTACCTTCTGGTTAGTGGTTTGTACTTCTAAACCTTCATTTTGAAAAGATCTTATTTGTTTATCTTTTATATTGAAATGTAGGGATTATCTCCACTTTACTTTTGCGATGTGTTTCCAAATCAGAGCAAAGTAAGTAGCAGAGAGAGGAAGCAATTGTTAGTAGTGGGCACGGTGGTCCTCATTGCTAGCAACCCGATCAGGTAGACCAGCACGCTGTATCCTTAGAAAACATCGTGGTAAATTTCTAGTGAATTCGCCATGATGGGCCAACTGATTGGACTTTATTCTCATCTATGTACACACTGGTAGTCTGTCTGCTTATACAGATAGTGTACATGGGACTATTATTCCATTTTCACCCCATTAAAAAAAAGTGAACCAATTTTGCCTATTTTTCAGAATACGGCGATATTAGATGATCAAATGAAAGAAGCCAGTGGGGGTTTAAGCGAATTAAATACGATTTTGGGTTCAACGCAAACGAAGTTAAATAAATTAAAGGTAATTTTTAATATATCTGATAATTTATTATCAAACTATTTATTGAAAGGAACTACATTGTCTAGTTGTTGATTTTGTAACTTTACACAAAGTAATTTTTTTACGTTACTTAGAATGGCGAACAAGCCGATGGCCCGCTTAATAAACATAAAGAACACAAATGGAAAATTCAGAATACGCTAATATTGCCCCTAGTGTCCCTCACACGTTGCCATTCCTGAGAACGATGATCTCATGCCTTCTTATCTTGTAATTTCACTGTCATATGCCACCGTTCAAACCGAAACACAAGTGGGATTGGGATGGGAAGATACTCATGCAGACGACTTTTGGACAAAGTCGTCTTCTGGTATGGTTTGATACCTATAATATAAAAATTAATTAAAAACCTCAAAAAGAATGGAATATTTTATTTATTTCTTATACAACTTAGAATGGCAAACAAGCTGACGGCCCACCTGATGGAAAGTGGTAACCGTCGCCTATAGACATGAGCAATACCATGGACATAACGGAGTATATTGTTTCGCCCATAATACCCCCCATGCGTTGCCATTCCTGAGTACTCAGGTGTTATTCCTCTGTACCCTGTAAATTCACTGCCATATTTCACCCTTCAAACCGAAACACAGCTATGCAAACACAACTGCTTCACGGTTAAAACACGAATGGGACAGAGGTACCCAAGCAATCGACTTTTCTACAAAGTCTCCCTCTGGTAATGGTCTAATGCTCAGAGCATGCGTTTTGGCATTTATTACCTGTGAAATAGTAGATTTTATTTGTTATTGCTAATATTTTTACAATGCCGGCCCTATATATAGGTAAGAATACCTGCGGATAACTTCAAATATAAATATTGAATTAATTGTAAAGTTTTCTATATAGTGCGATCGAATCGGTTTATAGTATCTTACTATATGGTCTGTTTAAGATTATTATTATTAATATAGATATTTTTTTCATTACCTCAGGGTGTATGTGGCAGTCTCACAAATTTCTTCCGTCTGAAATTATCGGCTCGAGATAATTTGTCATATTCCAGTGAACCTAGTTACGTAGGTCAAACTAATTATGACAAAGACTACATACCATCAACTACCGAAATAAGCTCTATAAACGAGGGTCTTGGTCCTAACGACAACGAAATGTCATTACGCGCGAAACCAAATCAAGATGGCAGTCTAAGCGCGGAAAAATCGGCGCAAGATGGCGGCGACATCAACTCTGCGCTTGAAGATTTGAAAGAAATGCAAACGGCTGAGGATACTTCGTTGTTGAGCAAGGCGGCATTTGCAGATGTAGGTAAGCAGATGACGTCACAAATGAGTAAGTTAGATCAAATGATTTCCCAAGCGGACAGAGCGCAGACATCTTTGAATCAGCAGAACAAACAAATGAGGTCTTTTCTTCGATAAAATAGAATGTTTTTAAATGTTACGCCACTTTGCTCAAGTTTTGCCATAGCAGTAATTGTAGTGCTGCCTTGAGTTCGAAGTTATATACATATAATTTGACAATATGTAAAGTGCTTAAAATTATAAAATAATCAGATAATCTATTGAACGAATATTAATAATCAAAAATGTTTTAAAAATGCTTGGAAATCCATTCCGAAGTAATCTGTGTGGTAGAGACCTGTTGCACTAAAACGGCTTACTAATTAAGGTAATAATTCTTTAAATTATTAATTTATTTGATACATATAAGAATGCCAGTTATTAAGACAATGCATGACTGCGGTTCACGAGCCATAAGTTCGAATCTCAGCCAGATCTTTGATGATTTTTAAAAATTATATTCGAATGATTTGATTTGATTGTAACTCGCTTCGTGTTTCAGAGTAGGCATGAATAATATCCGTACCGCTTCAATATCTATGTATTGGGTTTAATAAATATCTATTTAAATTGATAGCGGAAAAAATCATCTCCCATTTCGATATCGCCTGTACCAGTCGGATATCTCTATTCATTTCAATCTGGTGTTTCATTTCAATATTATATATTGGACAACCGATATATAAGATATCTAATATTTTGCAAATATACAGATATTGTAACTATAATATTTAGATATTGCTGTCCCATGCCTACTTTAGAGAACACGTAAAGCCGTCATCTGGTAAGGTAAGTGGGAGGCCTTTATGTGTAACGAAGATAGTGGTGTGATTTTAATGTATAGACAATAGAGGGCGTCATCCTCACGTATAGTAATTAGTAGTAGTGTCTGATAGCAAACTATTAAAATTTGCTCTATGGAAGATGTTGAGAAAGAAGTCGGTACTTATATAAACTTAATAATAATCGATCTTATGAATATATTATAATTAATTATCAATACCTTTACAAGGCCATTAATAAATCACAGTTTAGCTAATAAAAATGTTCAATAGGTAAGATTAAAATGTTTATTCAATTTAAATAAAATACATTTTAATATATAATAATGCTTGTTCGTCACCTTTGGGGCATAAAAAATTAAGCTTAAGTGTAAAGTATACAGCGTCTTTATAAGTATCTTGTAGAAAAATACAATCAACATACATATTATAACATAATAAATATCAAAATAAACTTAGATCTATCTAAAAAGAAAATAAAAAAAAATAAAAAATTGATTATTCTGTTAGTGTTTATAAAAAAGAAACGAGTAAGTATTGACGAATAAGGAGCACAAAATAATATTAAGTTGCATTAAAGATACGTGATGATAATGATATTATTTGTGTAGTGTTAGATATTTTTTTTAATGATTGATAATGGAATGGTTACCGCGCCTGCGCTAACGGTATACGCTGGCGGGCCACCAGTGAAGGGTGATAGGTAAGGAAATAAAAGGCAGGTCAGTTAGTCCACCTTGATGAATATACCTGGAATTCAGCACGATGGTTTCCAGGGGGGACCATGTGGAAGTCGACTTGATAGGTTATATTGCTAGCAATGGGACTGGTAATCCTTATTACTAACAATCCCTTTTCCACGAGTATCAGATATTAGTTCAAAATCATCTTCATACACTAACATTATAAAAAAAAAATTAAAGCAAAACCTAACACAGTTGAAGAGTTAATTCGAAAACATTATTACTAGTACGCTAAAATTTCTTCATGAATTTTTTTTCATTTATATTTTTAAATTTTTAAATTGAATAAATAAATAAAATGTCTATCTATATATCTATGACGTATTTGCTTGGTCCAATCACAGATGAGTAAAAGGTTTGGAGTTTGAAGAAAAACATGACAAGTTAATTCAAATAAATCTGAAATACACACTATTGTTGAGGTTTTAAATGTAGACTGCCCAAAACGCTTTGTGTTGAAGCATTAAAAAAACACAAAAAAAAAAAAAAAAAACTATAACTGTATTACCTTCTGCTAGTGCCATATGCATTTTATAATAAGGTTCATGTTGTTAGAGTGATTTTCATTAAATCTATCTCTTTATAGCTTTAATCAATTTTTTTTGTTTGCCTTTAACACATGAGAACGAAGGAGTATCCATTTAAGCTATGAGAGGATGTGATAAATGTTATATTATTTATTTGATCTCTGATAATTGTAGTTGTTCATGTCCACATGCGATAATTGTCACATCATTTGTATAGATAATAAAATAAGTGTCACAAAAAGCCCATGATTATAAGTATCACAATAATATGGTATATAGGTATACATTTTTTTTGCGTATCTAAGAGAAATTGCTTGAATAGTTACATAAACTGGCATTCACGTAATTTGACGCTAGTCATAATTATACTTAATTAACGAATAGGATAACTTTGGTGCTTTGAATAAAATTATATTATAGTGTAAAATACATTTCGAAGAATGATGTATGTGTTACTTAGTGACAATATTATGATATTAATTCGTTATCTCTTCTAAGAAATTTATTTATAACACTCTCTTAGATTAAGTAACATTAGTAACCTTCGGTATTTATTGATTGGGCATTGTGAATATTCAGATAATATAGGTGGCTCAGATTAATAATTGCGTCTCCAATCGTTAATCTAAAATAGGTGCCAAGTTTCTGAAGGATTTTAATGAGACACTTTGCAATAATCGTAAGATGAAATAGTCTGATAATATAATACACTTGAAATACTTTAATTGTCACTTATGTACTGTGACTATCTAAATTCAGGAGATTTTCTGCTATCAAATGTATTTAATTTTATACTATATTTTCCACTTAAATTCAAACAAAAAATACCACGATTTCAATTATACTTACATTATAAGTAATATTTATATAATAGTGCGCCACTTACCCTTTGTCTTTTTCTCAATGTTCTCTACCCAAAGGTTGTCTGGAAGAGATTGCTTGGCGATAAGGCCGCCTTTTGTATCACTTCTCATTAATATTAACTGTATTTGTTATTTCTCTTTTTACTTGGTGCAATAAAGTGTAAATAAATAAATATAAGTATTTATTATTGAAAATCGTTGCTTTATAGGCAGTTTTGAAACCTAAGTTGAGTGGGAAAGAGAATCGATGATAATCTTCCTTTGCTATCTAAGTCTTTAAGATTATTTTTCAGGTAGGCCTGATCACTTATATCTGGGCCCGCACATGTACTCTCAAACTTGTTTTTGACAAAGCTGAAAGCTCTCATCCTGGTGTAGGTAAAACTCACTTAGCTCTCTCTTAAATACGCCTATGTACCTAGGCAAAATCAGGCAAGACATTAGTATTCGTTAGCTTTTTGATGTCATAATTTCGAAATTGGAGATAACAAAATAAAATACTCAATGAAATACATTAATATTAAAGAGTGTTACATTTAAATTACCTAATTATTATACCGTTATATATTCTTATTATATACTCTACCTTTAAATCTATTTCCTTATATAGATTTTTTCAACTATCCAAATATTCAATGTTGTCGCTTGTTCTTCCATATTGTACACCTTATCTTGTATAAAATGCCTCTACATTTGATGAATATAGAAATGTGATAACTATAAATATTTTGGTGTTAAAAAAGTATTTATATTTTGTGAGTTTCAGCAGTGTATATTGTTGAATAAAGCTGTGATTTACTTGATATGTCGTTTTTATTCAGTCAGGTTTTCCTGTCCTTTATAATCATTGTATTATATTGTAAAATATTTATTGTACATAATTTACATTGGACATATTAAAAGATTTAATATACAATGGCGGACTTATACCATAGAGGGATCTCTTAGAGTCAAGTTTTTGAGAAGCTGAAAGAAAAATAATATAGATTACATTATTATTTGAGTTTTCTACGAAGTAAATTTATAATTTTTTGATAGGATCAAACCACAATAAAATTTGTATAAAGTAATTTACTCCCTTTTGTTCTTAAAGAAGTAGGGAGATAGGTATTGATGAGTAAGCATACAGACGAGTGAACATAAATTGTAGGTAACATTTGAATTAATCAATCAATCAATCGGAAGCATTGGAATCAAACTAAAAGTTATAACCTTTCAGTTATAAAAAGGATTATCCAAATTGGTTTATAAATGAAGGAGGTATTTACGTAAAAAAAATATAAACGAATTGAGAATCTTCACATTTTTTGAAGTCTGTTAAAAAATCGGTTAAAATTGAATTGAAATTAGAATAAAATGATTGAATTTTGGTATTCATACTGACTGTAGACATGGCAAAGTGGAACGTGACACGAGTGATGTTGACAATAACAAGGAAACTTACGACTAATTTCCCTAAAGTTTACTTCAATTATTTCGAAGATGTATTGACATTGGACTTGTCATGCATAACCATGGCCAAACAAAAACCGGGCGTCCGGACCGTGAAATCGATTTATATAAGAATCTGATTACTGTTCCATGACCTATCATTGCAATCCAGTCTCGGACAGCCGCAATGTTATTTGTACTAATTGCTGCTCATCTAATTGTTTTGGCTATTGCTAATCCATTTCATAAATATCCTTACGTATTTTTATTAGATATTGGTAATGAAGAACTCGAAAAAACTAATTCGGAGCAGATCAGAGTGTCCATACCGGGAGGATCCCTGGCTCTCAGGTATCCTGCAGTTGGGGTTAGTGATACTATAACCCATGTGAGAGTGAGTGGCATAGATTTCGGTACGGACTTGAAAGCGAATATAGTCGACGGTGGTCCTGGTTACAAATACGTTGTTTTAGTATTCATGGGTAATACAGGAGTGCCTTATGATGCTGTAATAACTATACAGACGCTATCGAATGATAGCTCCATAATTAATCATATTAATAACGATATAAATGTTAACGACGTAGGATCAAATAATAATGACAATAATTCTTATGAAGTCTCAGAAGATGACCTGAATGATAGTTCAGAAGATTTAGATGAAGATCAATCTAATGAAAGCGTCAAAGCAGATTCAACTCAAGCAAGTTCTAGCTATTATAATTATGTGCAAAAAGAAGAAGTAAATAGTAATTATAATGATGATGATGGAAGTGATGGTAATTTTGAATATCAGCATGCACACCAGCATCAGAAAGAGGCTGGCAAAGGTATAGAAAATGATTATATTGACGACAATGACCAGACTTATAATGAAAACATTGATAGTTCTAAGAAGGAATATGATTTAAATCATGGCACTGGTCAGGAAGAAACTACCAAAGAAGAATCGCAACCCGTTAACAATTTGTACTACGATAGATATAAACTTTTAAGGCCTTATTTATACGATGGTGTTAGAGTGTATCCACAGCAAGCCATTCAGTATATACCACAAGACAATCCGAGAGTTGGATTCTTTGCTGATTCTGAGGATAATGATGAAACAATGAATGAGGTGGAGAGTCCTGATAATAATATAAATAATTATAGAGATAATAACAACAATAATTATGATTCAGATGATAATTCTGCTGTAGCGTCGTAAAGTTAAAATAATGTGTAGGTAACAATAATTAGGTCACAATTTTAATAATACCGTATTACTTTATTAGAGTTAATAGGTGTTGTAGAAGTGTAAAACAAGTGCTGTGTTTGTAATAAATAGGTAGGTGATCATGATAAATTTTAGTTATTGTAAATTATAATATATTGTGATGTGTTATATAAATACTACATCGTAATTGTATTGCTATGATTAAAAATATAGTTAATGAAAAAATAAAGATATTAGATTTTATAACATACGAGTATATAGAATGTATATTTGTATATTTAATAATTTATTTGAAATTTAGTTGAGTTTAATTAAGTTAATAGATATTTTTTATCTAGTAAATCCAAGGAAGCACAATAAATCCCAAAGGGTCGACGTGCAACGGCTTTGCTGACCCCATACGCAAATAAAAGATAATATAGTAAATCCAAACAAGATATAGGTAAATACATATTGGGTTAAACCGTAAGAATAAACATTAAGTTTAACCTAAGTTGATTGCAAAGTTGCAAAATTTTCCAGGGGTATTCGCGCGAAGGTCAACTTGATAGGATGTATTTGCTAACAATAGGGCTTTTAGACCACATTAATTTTTTTTACACAACTTAGAGTGGCAAACAAGCTGACGGCCCACCTGATGGAAAGTGGTAACTATCGCCTATAGACATGAGCAGTACCATGAACATAAGAGAGTATACTGTTACGCCCATGATACCCCCCATGCGTTGCCATTCCTGAGGACTCAGGTGTTATTCCTCTATACCCAGTAAATTTATGCCATATCCTACCCTTCAAACTGAAACACAGCCATGCAAACACAACTGCTTCACGGTTGAAACACGAATCCCTTTCCCTCATAGAATATGTTGTGCCAGTCATAATATATTTCTAATGGTCATACATTCCTGAAACGTGAATTAGTTTACTTCTAACAAATACTACTAACATGCGAAGGTGTAAGATATTTTTCAATGAGTGTCGTTGATTAAAACTTTATTGGACTATGGGAGTTTGTACCTAAGGGTCCTTATCGCCATGAGTATTATGAGATCGATGATAGGATGTCTTGAGGATGTAGTTATTGTAAATTTTAGCCGGAAAGAATGTTTGAATATACGAATGTATTATTGCGAATCTAAAATGCCTAATATATTTCGTAAAGCAATGTTGCTGCAAGATACTTTGTACGAATGATTGGAGATGTTGGTAGGGGTCGCTTTTTTTTATGGGTGATAATGAAATGGTAACCCCATCCGCGCTATCGGTATACACCGGCGAAGCACCAGTAAAGGATGATAGGTGAGGATGAAGTAGGTCAGTTAGCCCATCGTGATGAATTCAACAAGAATTGTTCACAATGGTTTCCAGGGGGAACCACGTGGAGGTCGACCTAATAGGGCATATTGCTAGCAATGGGGCTGTCAAAACCCATTGCTAACAATCCCTTTCCCCCCCAGGGGTCGCTTTAGATGGACAAATGTTGACTTAATAGGTGACGTGCTGAAAAAGAATCCAACTAAAAGAGGATACTTGTAATTGGCCAGTTTGTGTGTACAGAATGTTGAATGTGGAAGAAGCGAAAGAGGTCAGTTTGAATCAGAGCATTTGGCATATAATTATTTCTGCATATCCCAACAGGAGATAAACGTGATGTATATGTATGTATGTATACATTTTGGTGTGTTAAAAGGGTGTGATAACATTTGTAATTACGGTTTTTTTCCTAAACTCCTTAGAGATTTCAATAAAATATTGTATTATTTAGTAGTATACCAATATATTTGGTGTAAAAATTTAAGGGCAAGGTAGAACTGACTTATTGTCTTGAAAAAGATTACATATTTTCAATTCTCTTTTATTTTTTCCTTGGGCCGTAAACTGTTTGCCATTTTTAGTTGTAAAACAGTCCTGCTCTATCAAAACTAGCTGGCGACTAAGCTAACAGAATTGTGTAAGCGACACTTAAAAAAATATCTAGATTTGGCAATGTAATGATGGATGCTACACAGAACATATTCTTTGAAGTATATAATAATTGGTAATACGTATTTACAGACAAAATTGTGAATTATCACTCCTATACGGCGGCTGTTATGGTCCATAAACTTGTTCAGCACTGAACAGGCGCTATTAAAAATTGGGGGTGCTTTGTATAAAAGTTATTTAAATTTTCAGAGGCTTATTATATCGTTAAGGAAAACTACGATGAAAGCGTCTCCACATAATTTCTTACATTTATTGTTATATCGTGACGGTAAAATCGTATGATATCGTCCCGTACTACGATAAATTATAAAAGAGACTCATTAAATTGTTAAGGAAAACTACGATGAAAGCGTCTTCACAATTCAATTTCTAACATCTATTGTTATATCGTGACGCTAAAATCATATGATATCGTGCTGTACAACAATAAATTATAAAAACGTATAAAAATGTTGATGATTCAGTTATCCACATAAGCTGTATCTATTTGGTCCTTTGCTTAAAAAAGATTTATCATATTAAATTAATTTTGTCAAAGTAGATGTATTTGAAATGGGAAAAAGTATTAATATAAAAGCTAAGAATTTTGCAGAATAAATGAGCTGCGTACAGCAACACATTATCATAATCCTTTTGTGAAATGAATTAAAGCTAAATTCAACCTTGAAATAAATTGTCTGGTTTCGATACTTATTGTTTTGAAAGAATAACGTAAAGGTGAAGAAGAAGTGTAAGTATTATGTAAAGCAAGTTGTTGGGGGGAACAGGGATTGTTAGTAATGGAGACTGAGAATCCCATTGCTAGCAATATATCCAACCATCGACCTCCTCGCAGTTCCCCTTGGAAACTATCATGATTAATTCCTGATGAATTCATCATGATGGGCTAACTGGTCTGTTTTCATCCTCATCGATCACCCTTCACTGGTGCACCACCAGCGTATCCCATAAGCGCAGGCGGGGTTACCACTCCATTTTCATCCAATAAAAAAAAATGCAAGTTGTTATTCAAAAGTTTCCTCGACTTCTAAGTTATTTCATGATGTTCAGATTATAAGGTGATTCTAATTTATAAGAGTTTCAATTTGACTGAAATTTTTTATGTGTATTTATAAACATTGTTATGTTTATTTCGTGACTAATATTCACACAA